GATGTTCCGAGGTTGGTTTACAAATGTTCGCGTTCCATTCTCGGGCTTCCGACGGCCAAAGACGGCGGCAAGATGGTCCCAAGAGGGCCGCAGAGACCTCCAAGACGGCGCGAAAGCATCTCAAGACGGCCTCAAGATGGCCCATTGAAGCCCCCAAGACAACCTCCGAAGACCAACCAGCGGCTCCTCATATGCCCCAGATGCCCCCAAGATGCTTCATGCGGCCTCCAGGAGGCCTTCTGAGGCTCCCAAGAGCCCCCCAGCAAGCCCTCAGGAAGTCCCGAGAGGCCTCCTCTTCTTCCTCCTCCTCCTCCTCCTCCTCCTTCCTCCTCCTCCTCCTCCTCCTCCTCCTCATTCTATAGCTCCTCCACTCTTGTTCCCCCGGATGTGCCCCAAAGGTTTCCACAACTGCTTGGGGAACACATGGTCCAATAGCTGGGCAGGGCTTCGGCCCAAAGTCGGGCCACAGAGACGATTCCTGAAGGCAGAGGGCGACGGTGGTTCGCCGCAGGCTTGTGGATGCCATGACAATGGACATTCTAACAATCCGATCATTGAATTCAATATGTGTTTAAAATGTTTAAACATGTTCTAGACATGTTTCTAAATAATTAAAACATGCTTTAAACATATTCGAGACATCTGGAAATTATTAGGCAGCACGCTTCCTCTCCATTAATCGACTTCCACCACCGTAGGCGTCGTCGACACAAGCCGACAACTTCCCCACCGTAACACTTATACTCTCGAAAGCGGGCCTCGCCGTTTGCACCATCCCGCAAGTAAAATCTCCAGGGGCATCCCGCCGTGGCGGCGAGGACCCCCCCCCCCGGGGGCAACTGGAACGAAGCCCTTGATCCTGCGATGCGCGCGCAGCCAGGACAGACCCGCCCCTCTGGCACCGCGGGGGGGGGCGAGCGCCTCAGCGGGGTGGCGAGCACGAAGGGCCTGGTGGCCAGCCGGGCAAGCGCCTGCGGCACGCCGCGGGCGAGGGAGGCCGGGAGCACGCTGCCTTCACGCACGCGTCGACTCGCCGCGCGCGTGCACGCGCGTCCAGGGGCTCGCCTGGACCTCCTCAAGCCAGAGCCCTTCAAGTTCACCGTGCAAAGAGACTCTGCGTCCACTGCCCCCCACGCTGCACGCCGTGTTGCCTCCGCGCTTCGCGCCAGCATGCTGCACTGCTAAGATATATGACTCCTAGCATGCGTGGATTAAAAAATAGAGCGAAGCGCTCTCTCCTGCCCACATCCCTCTGTGAGTCTCCCCTTGGCGCTCCAAACATGCGTAATGATAATATCTCGTGGGGGGCATGAGTTTCCCGCCCCCCCCCCCGCAATACCGCGTAAGATTGGTGTTCGCTCCCCTGTCCACGACCCCTTGCGGAATACTTTGGGTCCTCGGTTCTAAAACCACGATCTTTGCAACAGCAGGCTGTGGGCCTACTGGAAAAACTGCTGCATATGTCTATCACTGGCATGTGTTGGTATGGTTGTTGCTGCTGCGTGTTATACTGCTGCTGCTGCTGCTGCTGCTGCTGCTGCTGCTGCTGCTGCTGCTGCTGCTGCTAGACCTCCGCTTTCGCATCTTTGCCAGCAAACGCCATCCCGGGGAAGCGCCAGCCATGAGAACAAACGGAAGACATAAGAGACAACACTTCCTGCGACAGTGGACAACAAAAACCTGACCGTACCCTACGCACTGCACGCAACCGAGGCCGAAAGGCAGCCAGGCTATGAGGGGGCATGCAGCGCTAGATGGGCACGGCGAAGGAAGCTCGTCAGTCAACACGGCGGCATAAACTCCCCGAGGGGCACGGCACCCCGAGTACAGTCGGGGCGCTGACCTCAGGAGCCCTAAACAAGGAACGAGGCCCGTTTTCCCCCCCCACTGGTTCAACTTCGGTTTCCCATGGGAGACCTTGGGAAAACCGAAGGCAAACTGCAAAACAATCAAGGAACACCGAGCCCCTCCCCAACGAAAAGGGTTCCTTCCTCAACGCCCCGAATGTAGTTCTCCGCGCTGCGTATGAGCCGCCCCGGCGCAACCGAGCATGGATGATCTGCGAGGAACGTCAGGCTGTTGAGAACACCGTGCTGCGCACCGCACATCCCGCGCGGCGCGCAGCTGGGCGCACTCTCCATGGGACCTGATTCGCCTGGTTCACAACACAGAATGCACAACTGTTGCAGAATTTCTGATAGCCCGCGGAAACAGAAACCGGTTCGCAATTGGCGGCGCCAAAACAGGGCGAGGTCTCCTTTAGGTTCCAGTGAGACGTCATCACGCTGAACTTCCCAACGCCCCACGAAAGAGGCGGCAGGTACACAGCTTGCAGCACCCAAAGAGGGCAATGCCTCCCTGGGTCCCAGTACAACGTACAACGTCGCTCCGCTGCCCCCCCCATGCAGCGCACAAAAGTAACACCAATTTCACAATTAACAACACCCAAACAGGGCGAGGTCTTTTTCGGGCCCCCTTGTGACGTCGCCCAGCTGGACCTCCCAGCGGCCCACGACAGTGGCGACAGTTGCGCAGCTGGCAGCACCCAGGGAGGACGAGGTCTCGTTCGGGCACCCGTGTGACGTCGCCCCGCCGGACCTCCCAGCAGCCCACGAGAGCAGCAGCAGCTGCGCAGTTGGCAACAAACATCCAGGGCGAGCGAGGTCTCGTTGGGGTCCTGGTACGACGTCATTCCGCTGGACCTCCAATAAGCTCACGACATTGACAACAGCTGGGCAGTGGGCAGCTCACGGAGAGGGCGAGGTCCCAGTTGGGTTCCCGTAGGACGTGATTCCGCTGGACCTCCCAGCAGCCCGCGAACATGGCGACAGCTGCACGTCTGGCAACGCCCAGGTAAGCGAGATCTAATGTCAACCTCTGTAGGGCACCACTCTGCAGGACCTCCCAGGAGCTCACGAGTGTGGCGACGCTTGCACAGTTGGCAGTCGCAAGGGAACAAGGTCCATTCTGGGTACCTTTCAGACGTCGCCCAGCTGGACCTCCCACGAGCTCATAAACGTGGCGACCGTTGCGCAATTGATAGCCGCCAAGATATGGTCCACTTTAGGTTCCTTTCAGACGTCGCTCCGCTGAGCCTCCCAGGAGCACACAAACGTGGCGACAGTTGGGCAGTTGTCAGCGACTACCAGCGCTCAGGAGACAGATTGGAGGCAGGAGGCGAGAAGAGGTAAGAGGCAGCAGGAAGGGAAGAAGGGGAGGGGAGAGGAAGAGAGAAGGCGGGAGAAGACAGGACGGAGACGGTTGGAGCAGGAGGCAGGAGGATGCAAGGTAGGAGACGGAAGGAGGGGAGGCGGGATGAGGAGGAGGAGGAGGAGGAGGAAGAGGAGTGGGAGAAAGAGAAGGAAGCATCAGAGCTTTCTTCAAAAGGGAGACCCAACAAAGGAGTGGCGGGTGACATGCCACAACTGATGTACGTTTGTCGCACCGTTCATCCACGATGCGTTCGCACGTAACGCCACAACGCGACGACACCGTGCGCATTTGTTTCACACAGCATTCACCTCGATTCACAACTTGTGTACAGATGATTCGGGATGGAAGGAAACTGACTCGTACTTGATTCAAGCTTGATTCGGGTCTTATTGTCATTTAATCTCCCACGAGCCGCAACTCATACAACATGGATGCAACGTCGGTTCGCAACCGCTACACAATCGATCCCCATTTAATCCACACACATATATCAACACCACTATAAATCTTCGCGATGACAGCCCAAGACCTCCACACCGTGACAACGTGGAGCCCCAACACGACGACACCATCACGCTGCTGCACTCAATTCATACTTTATTCATAATTGTTTGGATCTTGGTTCTCAGTGAAGTCACAGCTGGTTCACAAGTCAGATTCGGCTCAAACTTTTTCTGAAACATGTCTACGTACGACTCCCCACTGCATTAGAATTCTTGTATCTTGGATTCACGAACGATTCTGTATTGACGCACAGCCTGTTCCAAGCACGACGCCGCGAGACCGCCACATCGCGCCCCATTCACACTGCGATACCACTGCACCATGGCAGGACGACACCGCGACACCGTCACACCGCGACACTGCAGCACCCTGCCCCGCCGAGCGCTGACCAGAACGACAGAAATGAGGACACCAAGGCTCAGGTAGCCTGCAGGGCCATCGCTCTTGAGTGCACTTCGACACGCACGCCCATGAAATACGAAACGACGATTGTCCAGTTGGGCCAAAGGCACCCAACTTCGAACAACTTGCTGTTTACGCTTCGGAGTTGCCACGCACTCCAGCCTCAAAACTCTTTGCGTAACTCGTGGGGTGGGCGGCCGACTGTGAGCCTGGGCAGCAGCCTGGATAGTCTGAGTATGATGCATTGCTTTGGAGGGGGTGCTCCAACTAAAGAGCGGGGTAGACAGTCGAACCATGGCCACAAGAGCGTGAAACGATAACATTAGCCCCTTCCTCGAAGGCCCAAGGTCCCATGGAGACACCCCAGAGCAGGAGCATTTCCAAGGCAGAGAGCTCAAGCACGAATAGCATGAAGGGACCCCTTCCAAAGCTAAGGCTGTTCTCAACCCTCGCGCCAGCTGTACTAGCACCTGCGGTGAAAATGAACTCTGCACCGATAAGAGCCCGCCCAGGGACCGAACAGAACTCATGGCAACAACGGCTTCTTGGAGACGGCGGGAACGCCACTGCTCATCCCCAGCCCAACCCCGATGCGCGAGGCAACGCGTCTCCCGCGACGTGGCGGCGCCCTGGGACCCCCATGTCGGTGCTCGCGCCGAAGCTGGCGACTGCAGATGTTCTGCGGACCCCGCGGGCCGCGTGGCGCGCGCAGCGGAACATTGAAATCGGAGGGCGAGGGGGTCGGGTAAGACATGCGTCTGGTTTGGCTGCGGGCTGTAGTTCTTACATGACCACTCCGGCCGGCCCCGTCCGGCCCTCTCTGCCTGCCCCGTCCCTCCGCTCGGTGCAGACACTTTTTGCGTCGCAGCGCGGCAGAGGCAGTCCGCACGCGCGCTCAGCGGTCCGGGAAACGGGACACGCGAATTGCGGCAAGAGGGGGGGAGAAAGGCGAAAGCGGCCGCGGGGAGGGAAGAAAGGGGGGAGGGGACGGCACTCACATGGTCAAGTGCACCTCGACACGGACACACGGAATACGACACTAACCCTGGAAAAGCAATGCAACTCTCACGCGCGGCCCGTCCCCCCGCGCCCCTCAATTTCAATGTCCACGCGGGCCGCCCAGCGATTCGACCTTACTATTGCGTCGGCCGCGGCTGACTCAACATTGAGATCGCGGGCGCCGGGGGGAGGGGCGAAACAATTAGTAGCTGCATTACCTTCACAGGGGGGGTGGAGACCGGCAGACACGGCTGCTGCACGAAGCGTTAGAAGACTGCCCCTAGGTCGATGACCGAACACTGCAACAAGTATTGCCATCTGGAGGCAAACCAGTATGAAGGATATGGGCGTGAGAAAAAAACAACAGTTGTCCTGTCTGCCTCGCCTTGGGCACGCGCATAAACCGCGCAATTGGCGTGCGGATGAATCCACGCGTGCCTGTTCAGTGGGCAACACGTGCGCGTGCAAATACCCAGACGCTCTGAGTTCGCGCATACACAGCCGTGACAAAAGTTCCATTAATTTGCTATGGCGAAGATATCTCCCATTCTTCTTAATATTACATCATGGTGTTGGTGTCATTCGGCGGAGGAGTCTCCGATCCGCCTGGTGCGTAAAACTCTGTAACCCCCAAACCAGATCGAAAACTACTCCGCGCCACACCATATAAAGTGTCAAACAGGATGCGCCCGCGCGCGGAGTAGCTGGAATACTCTTACTCCGAACTACTCCGCACTGCTGCGCTATTGGCGAAGGCAGATTGAAAGAAACTCTCGCCACGGTGGTGCAACGCCGCAAACATTCCATAGTGTCCATCAGAAGAGAGGTGGCAATGTTTTCAGACTGAAGAAGTATCTATACTCCTCCGATCTACAGCTGCCGGGCACGCTGCCGTCGGCATGATTCGGCCAAGAATTCGAGAAAACCCGCATGCGGGACAGCATGGAGGGGAAGATTAAGTAGATCTGGATGTGGAACCAAGACAGAATGGATGGAATACAAAAAAGACATAATGTAACGAACCCAACACGGCGATCACGGAATGGTTGCAAGGCCACACAAACCACCGCGCTCGCTGCATAATCCAGGCAGAAACGGAAAACTCGAGAGTACAAATAAAACGTAGAGGTGGTCGAGGAGAACGAAGATACGTGGCAACGACTACTGCTGTTGCGAATCCCTGTCAGCTCTAGAGCTTCATGAATACAAATATGCCCAGAATGATGAGCATAAGCCTCAGCAATGTGATCCACACCACTTATTGCAACGTCGCGCAGATCCCGCAATGCATCTCGCTCTTTTTCTACATGCGACCGCCTCCCATCATGTGCTCTGCCAGAAGCTCGCACCCTCATCAGACACCCCCAAGTATACTGCGGCATCTAAGGTCGCACTCGCACATGCGATGGCGGCACACCGACGATCCTGAGATTATCCTGTCGCGCCGCTGCGTAAAGTAGCGCATCGGAGCTTATGCTGCGACAAGTACTGCGCAAACGTGTGACCTCTCCCACCAAGAAAAACACGCACAGTCCCCTCGACATTCGGATGAGAGCTCGTCGAGTCAGGGAAACAACTGCGCCGAGGGTGATGCCTGCCACCGTGCCCTCGGCATGTGGGGGGGGATCCAGGCAGCCCTGAGCCAAGACATCGGACCATCTCTTGGGAGGCCGCTCTGTGCCTCCGCGGGCTTCCGCCGGCGGAGGCGGCCTCGTTTTGCTTCCGCCGCCTTCCGCGGCCCCACTCGCGGAGGGAGAGATATCAATGAAGGGGCCCCAGGACACACAAATAAATACACACAAATAAAAGGATTCCCCATATTTTCCAACATTTTCGGGTTTTTTTTGTCTTGGCCCCCACTTCCCAGATTTTCCTATATTTTCGGGGGAATCGACGATTAATTGTGCCTGTGTGTTTTTGTCCCTCCTGAATCCACTCCTTCGACCCTCGAAGGCGAGGCCCCTTCTTGAATGCCTCGTGTGGCGTGGCGCCGTCGAATGTCTCACAGCTGCCTGGTCTCGCCATCGCTCGGACGACCATTCCCTGTGTTTTTGTTTCGGTTTCGTGCGTGGTCTTTTCGCCGAATGATCAAGGATGCTCCTCGATGATCCTCGCCGAGAAAAAATGCACACGTCCGAGCGATGCCAAGAGAGAGATCAACTCCTTCGACCCTCGCAGGCGAGGCCCTTTCTTGAATGCCTCGTGTGGCGTGGTGCCGTCCGATGTCTCACAGCTGCCTGGCAGGATCTCTGCAGCCTGCCGTGGGTGACCACCCCCGAGGCCCGCGCGCCCACCGAGCATCGCGACCCAAAATGTCCTCCAAAGCTAAAGGGGCCCTGGGACACACAAATTAATACACACAAATAAAAGGATTCCCCATATTTTCCATATTTTTTAGATTTTCGTCTTCCCCCCATTTCCCATGTTTTCCTATATTTTCCTGGGGATCGACGATGAATTGGGTCTGTGTGTTTTTTTCCCTCCTGAAAAGCCTCCTTCCCCGCCTCAAGACGGGCCCAAGACCGTCCCGAGACCGCCCCCTGACCAATGACGGCTGCAGGATGCCCCAGGGCCAGCCCAAGACGGCCCAACGACCTACGAGCATATATACATATATATATATATATATATATATTTCCAAGCGGTCCCTTTTTCAGGATGCCTGGGTACTTACGCAGGACGAAAGATTTTCCTCTTGAGGTGAAAATGGCCATGAGGAGTTCGCGAGACAACGTCGGCGCCGCCGAACGGACGGCGACCGGACGAGCTGTTTGCAGCAACCGGGGGGGAGGGATGTACGTATTCATGTTGAATGGGGCCCGCTCGCGCGGGGAGTTGATGGGAGTGCGCGAGACGACGCAGGGCCCATCGTGGAAAATTGATTACCGAACCCCCCTCCCCCATAGAATCTTAACACGGGCGGTTTGCGGGGTCCGCGGATCCGATTTCTTCCGGTCCTCTGGTTTAATTTAATTTAATATATATATATATATCTATATATATATATATATATATATAACAGGGTAGAAATCGGATCCGCCGTAAAACATAAGACCGGACACGGATCCAGCTAATCCGAAATCGGATCCGTACGGACGGAAATCGGATCCACCGAAACAACACCAAAGCCACATTTGGATCCGCGCGAACTTCATGGGATCCGACGGCGGTTATCTCATACGGGTCTGTTCAAGACTTCACACCGTCGTTCCGAACCCAAGAGGAATCAACTTTCGTCCTGGGGATGTATGAGTGACTCTGAGTGTGAGCGAGACTGCGTACGAACACCCGAACACGGGTGGGTCTGAATGCAAACTCGAGTGCGGGTGGCAAAGCATTGGTGGGCTTGAGTCTGAGAGTATGGGTCGGTCGAGTACGAGTGGGTCTGGATGCCAGCGAGTATGATGTGAGTGAGTCTGAGTGCGAGTGCGTACGAGTGGATACACGTAGAGATCTGAGCATGAGCGTGCCTGAGCATGAACGAATCAGCAAGAGTGGCTGAGTACGAAAGAATATGAACATGACTGGGTCTGCAGGTGGGTGAGCCTGACCGTGCGGGTCTGAATCCGAGTGAGTCTGAATATCAGTGGGTCTGAACAGGACGGGCCGAACACCTCCACGAAGATACGTTCCTCGCATCTTGCGGCCAGACCAGACATCTAGCCAAAGGGCGCCAGAAGGGCGGTTGGCGGAACCTTTTTGCTGTCCTCCTCTTCCTCGTCCTCCTCCTCCTCCTCCTCTTCCTTCTCCCCCCTCCTGCTGCTGCTGCTGCTGCTGCTCCTCCTCCTCCTCCTCCTCCTCCTCCTCCTCCTCCTCCTCCTCCAATGGGACCCGTCCCGCCCACCAGGGGCCAACGCCCACGCCACTCGCTTGACTCTGGCTGCGAGCTGGGTCCGGCACGAGCGGTCGAGCCGGCGGCGGGGCGCGTCCGTAGTTAGCGAGCTGAGAGGCACCGGAGGCACGGGCAGGCCTCCTCCTCCTCGGGGCGGGGCCGCGAGACGGCCTGCTCAGACCACACACCTGCACGCCGCTTCTCTGCGAGAAGCGGGGGGGCGGGGCGGGCGAGCCGCGAGATCCCCGCGAGCCCACCAGGGACGAAGGGACGGGGGCTGTGGCGAGCAAGTCGAGAGGCTCCAAGCCGAAGATCGGCGAGGCTGGTCCAGAGGGGGGCGAGTAGGAGGGAGAAGGGAGGAAGGATGAGGGAACGAGGGAGGGAGGGAGGGAGGAGGAGACGCAGGCCTGATGGTCTCCGCAGCCAGCCGAAACGAATCAGGGAGCCACGAGATTAAGAGCGGCTGGCCCTAGCCGCTAGAGCTGTCACCGCTTATGGGGGAGCCCTGCGCGCGGATGACAACTGGCCTTGAGGCTATTCAAGGCAGCGCTGCGCTGACGGCTTCTATGCCACGTGCTGGGACCATTACAGCGGTCTATCAGCACAGGGGGATTGCCTGGCGGATGCTGCTCCACCGCAGCTGAGGCAGCAAACAAACTGGCCCGTGGAGACCACGTGGTGGCCTCGCACGAGCTCAGAAGGGAGCCTCAGGGGCCACTGGACACGTCTGGACACAGTAGGCCCTGTAGGCGGTCCATGGCACAAGCAGACTCGGCACCAGCCAAACAAAAAACAGTACCGCCAGCACTGGAAGCATGACCGCCATCCCCAGACGCACGGGCTTCCTCAAAGGCCTCGGCGTTCCCAGACGCCCTGGACGGGCTTCCGGCAGGCGAGGTGCCTCCAACAGCCCCCCGAGAACTCGCAGCGGGAGCATGCGGTCCAAAGTCGCGAAGCCTCCCCCCACCCCGCCGGATGGCCGACCTCAGGTCCTACGACACGGTCGGCGGCTCGAAAAGCTATGGCGATAGCCTCCGAGGACGAAGAGGGAAGGGAGGCTCTGGCCGAGGACGAGGAATGGGAAAGTCGCAGCCGCGCTCGCGCCATGAGGCGCTGTAACGCGGATGGCGAACAATATGTGCGCTCGAGGCAGGCACGGCCGGCATCATTCACCGCAGTGGCCGTGCACGTCGTACAGGCCCAAACTCCATCAACTCGTCGCTCCAGCGAATGCCTGCTGGTCACCGGCTGTACATGGACCGCAGGAGCATGAGCACGTGGACGTCTGGGCACCAATTCATGGAACTCGACCGATAATGAACCAACTGGTGCCAGTAGTTTGGCATCGGACTTGGCATCGCTGTCTTCTGTTCTGAACAGATCCACCAAAGTGGACGGCCACTTGTGCTGCATGGCGCCAACCTTCGCAAAGAAAACAGCCCACGTGTTGCCGCAATAGTCGCAGACACTGCCTCCGTCATGTGCCAGGTAGTTGTCAACCGAGAGATGGGCAGGGCACCAGGAGCCCTGGAGCCTGCCACGCCCCTCGCACGCAGCAAAGATCCACCTCCAGATGTCAGCATATTGACCACGAGACCCGGCCTGCTCAACCACGTCCTAGGCCTAGATCTCCGCCGCCAGGGAAACCAGGTCCGTGACCATGAACTCAGTGTAGGGCATGTGGGCCAGGGTCTGCAGGAAGGCCCTTCGCTCGGCTCGCCCCACCGTCTGACGACCAGGCAGCTGGCCGAAGATGGCCTGCTTGTATGGGCACGTAATCCGACTGATCTGCACACAGGCCCATCCGCACCTGCAGAGCTCCGGCCAAGAAGTGGTGCACAACCGTGGAGCGAACATCAGCGGCCGTAGACCAACCACCCCACCAACATACTTTAGCAATGGCCGCGGGCTCTGGCACCTGGTACGGCATCGTGGGCAGACCGATGACGAGGTCGAAACGGTTGTAATCGCTGTCGGCCGCCCCGATGCTGCACTTCTCCTGGAAGCGCGCACGGACCTTGAGCAGGTCCTCGGATATTGCCTCCAGGGGGTCGCCTTCGTCCTGGCCAACGTTGGGCACGTGAGCGCACTCATGGAACTGGCGGCCCTTGGTGCAGGGGAGGAGGAGGAGGAGGAGGAGGAGGAGGAGGAGGAGGAGGAGGAGGAAGAGGAGGAAGAGGAGGAGGAGGAGGAGGAGGGGGAGGAGGAGGAGGAGGAGGAGGAGGAGGAGGAGGAGGAGGAGGATGAGGAGGAGGAGGTGGGAGGAGGAGGGAGGAGGAGAAGGGAGGAGGAGGGTGAGGGTCAGTGCTCCGAGGCGCGAGCTGGCACATGCCGAAGGACAGCAGGCCGAGCAGGAAGTACTTGTAGGACTCCTGCAGGTAAGCGCTCAGCTCGGACCCGGCGTCCTCATTTGGGGGGAGGTCTGGGGGCACGGCCACAATCCCGGTCCCCGCGCGACCTCGGCCTTGTCTCGTGCCCATCATTGACAAGCAATCGATGTGATGTTAGCCTGTGGTCAGAGCTTTCGCTTGGCGTGTCGCGGCGGAGGCCAGGGTGACGCGCTAAGTTCGGGTGTTGCTGGAAGTGCCCCTGGGCCAAGGTGCCCCCAGGATTCTCTCGGTAGCCCAAAACGGCCTCCAGAGCACCCCTCAGGAGGCCCAGAGGGCCCCAGGGGCTCCAAAATGGATCGAAGAGCTGGGGGCACCTTGGGCCAGGGGCACTTCTAGCAACACCCGATAAGTCCTGCGAGCGGATATCGTCTCGCTCCGCTCCGCTCCGCGGGGGGAGAGGCCGGGAACAACTCGGGACGCTGACGCTAGGGAACAGGAGGAGGAGGAGGAGGAGGAGGAGGAGGAGGAGGAGGAGGAGGAGGAGGAGGAGGAGAGGCCGGGAGCAACTCGGGACGCCGACGCGAGGGAACAAGGACGTGGCGGACGCGTCCCGCCGAGGCAGGGTGGGCCAGAGCCGGCGGAGCGACACACGCGAAGCTAAAATTCCTGACCGTATCTGTTTGGGGCCCACGCGCGGACGTCGTCTCAGCTCGCTGTCCTTCCTGTCTCATGAGCCTGACAGATTCCTGGGTCCACGTCCTCTGGTCGACTTGTCCGTGAGGGCCCCGTACACTTCTTGTTCAAGCCGGGTGCGAGGCTCTCTGGATCCGGAAGCGGTGGCCCGTGGTCTCTTGGATGGTCTCCCGTGCGGGCTCCCAAATGGCCTCCCGTATGGTTTCAAGTGTGGCCGTGTGGTCTCTTGCAGGGTCTCTCGCAGGATCTCCCGTAGGGTCTCCCGTATGGGCTTCCAGAGTGGTCCTTCGTATGGCCTCCTGCGTGGTGTCCCGTGCGGTCTCCTGTATGGTCTGCCGTATGGTCTCCCGTATGGTCCTCGCGTGTGGGCTCCCGTATGGTCCCACGTGTGGCTTCCCGTATGATCTCCCGTCTGGTCTACCGCATGGCCTCCTGAACGATCTCCTGGACGATCTCCCGTAATTATGGTCTCCCGTACGCTCTCTTGCATAGGCTCCCGGATGACCACCCATCTGATCTCCTGTATGGTTTTCCGTGCTGTCTCCCGTATGGTCTCTCGTATGGTATCCCATGCGGCTTCCCGTATGTACTTTGCAATGTGCTGCTCTCTCTGCTATGGAATTCTGCTGCTTGAAGTCGTCGATCGCCCGACTATGATATGATAGTATTGCCTATTTCCACTGATTATGACCCTTTGTCTTGACATGTAGTCGAGTCGCCGCGGCATTACGAGCACGGCAGACAGTCAAATCAATCAAGCCCACGTCGTCTAGGAACGTGGGCGGGCGGAGGGGCCGAAACATACTGGCACATATCTGCTTCCACAGACTCGGCCAGTTGGGCAAAGAAAGACACACCTTCCCAAACATGACTTTGACATGCCGCCCTTAGAAAAACACTCGACGCATCGACGCACGACTCCACCCAGCCTCGCCAACCACCCTGAGGCGTAGGTAAGGCCTTCTCAGCAGAACTGGCCAGGCGAAACAACATGCTTACGAGCAAGATCCCCAAAGAGCTGGCACGCTCGCCTGATTTCGTCCATCGCCAGAGCGCCGGCCAGTGGCCGTTCGGCACACCACGGAGCAGGGCCTCCGCACCAGGATCGCCGCGCGGTGGGCTGCAGAGGTGCTCTCGAGCGTCCAGGGGCATCCCAAAGGGAAAATGGGAACGGGGGCTCCAGGCAGGGTGGCTCAAGCTTTTTCAGGAGCCCAATTCGCAATCACAAGCTTTAGACCGGTGCTCAAGCTGGGCTGAGCTGCAGACAAGAATACACTCACACACATACAGACCGTCGCACAACGCTGGGGTGCGTGATTGCGAGGGCGACAGCGAATCATCATGATCAGCAGCATCATCATCAGCATCATCATCACCACCATCATCATCATCATCATCATCATCATCATGATCGTCATCACCATCATCAGCATCATCCTCATCGTCATCCTCATCATCACCCTCATAAGCATCATTATCATCATCAGCATCATCATCGTCACCTCCAACATCCCAATCCTCATGATCGTTACCATCATCACTATCATCATCCTCATCATCTCCATTCACGTCTTCATTGCGGTCGCGTCGTTGTGCGAACATGCTTCTGATCACAGTCGGGAGCGAGGAGTGAAGCAAGGGGGGGTGTCAGGGGGTAGGGAGATATAGCGAAGGTGTTTGTTCGCTTTGCCTCCACTCCAGTCCAACCCCCGCATGGCGAGTCCTCGACGTAGTAGAAGAACAGCGGATGCCGCGCCTGTGCGAGACACGAGATACAATCATTCAGGTGCTCGGGCAGGAAACAATAAAGGCCCAGGGGCCAACTCGTCTTTATCTCCAGCCCTTGTCGATTCGTTCCGAGAGAGCCCAAGCTCGTTCGAACCAGCCCTCGAATACGAGATCTATGTTGCATCACAGCAGCAATTCGGCCCCTGATTTTCGTCCTGGGCTCGGTTTAGTGAAATGATGAATTTCGGGGTCCTTACGTGGGAAAAATATCACTTCACTAATCTGGGACCCCTGGGGCCTCAGTGGGCCCTGGGGCCCAAAATTAGTGACGTGATGGTTTTCGGGCCTCGGATCGAACTACATATGACATTATCTAACCCGTGCTTCACATGCTCAGGGCGTTGGACTGCATCTCCTCCCTGTATAAAACGTAAACACATGACCCAAGAAACCAATGCACCATGACAGCACTTCAAAACTCCATCCGGCTGGGTGGGATTGGGGCCAAACATACTGGCATATGACTTACTGCAAAGAAGTACCGTGCAAGCCAGAGAAACACTACACCTGATGCAAAATCAACGTCATGCCTGCCCAACGAGGGGCCGCCGGTACGGATGATGGATTGACCTTTGGTGCGCGGCTTTTTGTGACCGCGGGGGGGACAAAAACAAGCGCGCAAGCCGCTGCTACCGCTTCCCTTTCGGCCATCTGGGGGCCCATCTGTGCCCGCACCAAAGGTCACTCCGGCGAAAGGTCACTCTTACGCCTAGTCGATTCTTTTGAAGCACCAGCTCTGCTACTTCGCCGGTGCAGAAGGATCACGGCCACGCCTACACAGCGTGTGCCCCAAGCCCCTTCTCCCTCAAGGCTCCAATTAGACAGTCGTTCGTCAAAATCCGTGTGCGTTGCGCTTGCCTGCCCGATCACACTGCTGCGGCGTGCGCAGTGCTACGCAGCAGACATGCCGCCATGGTCGGGTGGCTCTACGGATCGGCAAACCCACGCCACGCACAGGTGTTGGAAAGCTGCAGCCCAAACCTAAGCCGAATCGCTGACTTGAACAGCTGGGGCTGGCCTGGTAAGGGGGGCAAAGCCAAGACGTATCTGGCAGCTCGCCCTCCGGATCCCCCTCTCCCGCACGCGTTGGCGAGAAAGCCTTGTTTACGTCAAGGCTGCTGCCTCCCCAGCTGCCCTTTCCTGCCCCACACAGCCGTCGCACGACGGTACCCATGATTTGATCTCAGCGGCACTCATCTAATGAGACGCGTGGCTAAGGGGTTGTCGCAAGTCTGATTCCCCGCCGCACTGCGCTGCCACGCCCAATCTACCCTGGTCTCTCAGCCAGCCCTTCTAAGCAGCCTGCTGCAGTGGGAAGAAAAAGTGGGGTGTCATCCGATCACCCACTAAACTAACTGGGGACAGAAAGAGAAAGGAGGGGATTGGGACAGCAATGGATGTGGGAGAAGGCCGAGGGTACGGGAAGAACAGAGGGTGAGAGAAGACAGGAGCGAGGATGAGAGGAATCAGCGAAGAGGAATGAAGACATGGCCGACGGCCTCGATGTTGTAATTGGCTTCTGCCTGCTGCACGGCCAATCTGTAGAAAGACCTCTGGTCCTCGCGCATCAGTCTCAGGCCCCCACTTTTGTCCTCGGGGCCGAAGCTCTTGCCGTTCAAGGCTAGGCCAGTAAAATGATGCATGAGATCTGAAGGACACGCGTGGCAATGAGGACAACATGGTCGCACGCAGGAATCACATTGCATGTAAGCATACAAGAACTAGTGGCGTGTGCAGCGACATCATTAGTAGGAATGCTGCTTGCATTCGTGCCTCCAAAAAACAGCATATGTAGTACCCCCGCCTTGGCCCATTGGACAACTAACTCTAGGGTAGGGACATGGCGGCTGCAGAAGCACAAGGCGATTTAGGTTTGGAGCTCCAACGGGCAGCAACACCGACGCCCCCTCAGGCTTCCGAAGCGTGGTGGCACTGGCTCATTGAATACACCTGCTATGTTGTGGAATGCCTTCCAACCTCTTCGCGCAGCTATGTAGAACCGAAGCCGCAGCTGCATACTGGCACTACTCTGTGATATGTTTATAGGCCCCGAGCGGACCCTGGAGTGAGGGCACTCGAACCCCAGTCTCCGCCCCCTCACGAATGTCGGCCGCCATCGGCCTTCTGGGCGCTCCATGCGGAGCGCCCCCTCGTACTTCTGGGCCTCCTGGACCTTCCTGCTCGCCGTCGGCAATAGGCCAGACAGGACAGGAGGGCTGCGAAACGGCCCCGCGAGGGCACCAAAAGGCCCCAGACACGCACCAAGGCCAAGTCACTTCCAGGAAGCCTTCCAGATGCAACCACTGTTGATGTTGCGGCTAGTTTTGTATGAATTTGGGATGCTCGGTTCTTCTGTGCTCCAGGCGCCCGAGAACGCCCAAGAAGCCCCGAAAGTCGTTCCCAAACGGCCCCAAAGGGCTTGCAGACAGCCCGAGAGAGCCCCAAGACGACCCAACAGTGCCTCAAGATGGCCCGAACAGCCCCATGAAGGTCCATGATGGCCCCGAAACGCTCCCCGAAGCACTCCCAGTCGTGACCTGGTCGTTGAAAGAAACCGTGGTTCGTGGCAAGGTGGCCGAGGAATCCCCAGAGGCCCCAAAAACGCGTCCAGGAGGCTTCCAGAAGCCCCCAAGAAGCCCCGAAAAAGTTTCGCGGTGCCCCCCCAAAGGCTTTCCAAGGAAGAGCATCCGGGGGGGGAACAAAAAAACGCAGGAGGACAAGGAACGGCTCTCAAGGTATGACGAGAACGAATCAGAGGGAGAACAACATATCATAACGACGACGGCGAAAACGGCAACAAGAACATGTTCGCTGTGTGTACCTTTTTTTCCTCTCTCTCTCTATCCCTCTTTCTCATTCCGCCCGCAAGCCGAAATTGAAGGACCAAGGTGCATGGCGCGACGCGCCAGTGTAGTCATGTATAGCTTCTATACACATAGAAACATAGATTTGTAGAAGTCTGCGTGGGTCCAAACACTATGTTATGATGATTCTCAGACCCTGAAAGCGATGAACCGCCCATGCAAGCGGGAAGCCCGTACGACAGAACCTGAAGATGACGGAACTATATATCACGCGAGAACGCCTTGAAACTGGGGCCAGCACCTTGAGAAGGTCTCTTGCACGTCTTCGGATGCTCCTCTCGCCATCGCTCGGACGTCCATCCCCTGTTTTTTTTTCGGTTTCGTGCGTGTTTTTTTCGCCAAATGATCAAGGATGCTCCTCGATGGTCATCGACGAAGACAAAATGCACAAGTCCGAGCGATGCCAAGTCCTTCTGAGATCTGGCAACTCCCGCGGCTTTCTGTTCTCGGTCACGAGCGCACCGCTTGGCGGGGTCCCCATACCCCACTGCCGGACGTGCACAGGCTCGGCGGCGACCCTGGGAGGGGGACGTGAGAGGGGGCGGGCCTTGTCTTATGTCGGGCCTGTCCCCCCCTACAGGGGGATTTTGGCCGAAAAATAAAAAAATCAAAGAATACACCAAAATGGTCAACAAAAAATGCGAAAAACAATTCGCCAGCCCAACGGGCCAGAGGCGTGCTAAGATCTCCGGTAACTACTTAACAATATTTCTAATTCGCGCGCGCGGGGCGGCCCCTGGGGGGCCCCGGACGAGAAGTACCCCAGCCGATCCCCGGCTGACCCCCGGGCGATCCCCAGGGGGGGAGGCTATTATTCGCCACCCCTTACGAGGATCGTGGCCTCCGAGGGGGGTGGGGTGGGCTGCCAACGACTACCCCCCCTCCCGCCCCAAGGGGCCCCCAAGAGCCCCCCAAGAGGCCCCAGGGGAGCCCAATACGCCGCCAAGGAGCCCCAAGACGCTCCCAAGAAGCCCCAAGAGGCTTCAAATAGCGCTCCAGGGCCGGCGGAATGAGCGAAGCGATGAAATAATCCCCAGACTATTTTTGCATCATGTTTTGACTATTTTGGGGGTGTTTTTTTATTTTTCGTCGACATATCCCCCTGTGGGGGGACACGTCCGACCTGAGGCTTGTCAGCAGGCGGCGGCGCTTCTCGGAAGCCCTCCGGCCTTCCGCGAAGTTCTCCGAGCGCTCCTCCAAGACCGCCGCACGGAACCGCAGAGCCCCCCCGCCCCCCGCGGGGCCGCGCGGGGGCCGGCGGGCGCCGGGAGGCCGTGCCCCGCCGAGCGTAGGGGGGAGGAGGAGAGAGGAGGAGGAGGAGGAGGAGGAGGAGGAGGAGGAGGAGAGGAGGAGGCGGAGGAGGAGGAGGAGGAGGAGGAGGAGGAGGAGGAGGAGGAGGAGGGGGAGGAGGAGGAGGAGGAGGAGGGAGGAGGAGGAGGAGGAGGAGGAGGGCTCCGGCGAAGCCCCGCCGCCCTCCGAGGAAGCCCGCCTCCTGCCACCCTCTCCCCCCCGGGGGGCTCGCCGCCGACGGGCGGCCCGCCTCCCCCCAGCGAGAGGCGCAGAGCAGAGCTGCGCGGACGGCCGGAGCCAACAAGCCTGCTGACACGAGTCGGCGTGCACGCCTCTCCCCCCCCCTCCTTCCTTCCTTCTCTCCTCCTCCTCCCTCCTTCCTCCTCCCTCCTCCTCCTCCTCCTCCTCCTCCTCCTCCTCCTCCTCCTCCTCCTCCCCCCCCCAGACCCCCTCGAGTTATGGAAAAATCACGACGGGAGGTTTTTCATGATTTTTGGCCTCTGGGGGCCCTTACCGGCCCTCGGGGCCGTCAACAAAACGACTCAGGACGAAAAACCGGTCCCCGGGAATGGGTCGAGACCTTGGGGGGTCGACGTCATGAAAAAATCATGACGTCGGGGGTCTGGGCCCCCCGCTCCGCGGGCAGCGCCCGACCGCCGCCGGCTCCCGCGTGCCGGGTGCTCCGGCCGAGGGGCAAAAACTTTACAGCAGCACCGCCCGAGCAGCAAGCACGCATGCCCTGGCCCTGGCCCGAGGGAGGGCGAGGGCCAGGACGAGGATGACGAGGGGGAGCAGGGCGAGGAGGACGAGGAGGATGAGGATGAGGATGCGGAGGAGGATGCGGAGGAGGAGGAGGAGGAGGAGGAGGAGGAGGAGGAGGAGGAGGAGCAGGAGGAGGAGGGGGAGGGGGGGGGCACAACTGCGCAGAAGAATTCGCCGGCCCGGCAGGCCGAAGGCGTGCCAAAATCTCCGGCGGCAGCTTTCGAGTGCTTCCTAGTTCGCGCGCGCGTGGCTGCCCCAGGGGGGGGGGGGGCCCTGGACGAGAAGTACCCGCCGCCCGAAGATGCCTCCAAGGCCACTCCCAAGAAGCCCCCTGGAGGCAAGCATTTCGATTTCCCATTGGTTTCTGAAGGTTTCCAGCGTTCTCATCTGTTCGGCCGCCGACGCTCCAAGACGGCCCAAGAAGCCCCTAAGATCGCTCCAAGATAGCCCATTCAGCCTCTAAGAGAACCCCAAAACGGCCCACGGGGACTCCAAGACGGCCCAGAGACGGCGCTGGAGAGCTCCAGAGCACCTTCAGGAAGACCCCTCGGGGGAGGGCCCCGAAGGACATTTCGAGCGTTCGGCTTCGAAATCGCGCCTAGAACCCCCCCCCCCAGGCCTTCAAAGAGCTCTCATTAGGCCTTCGGCGTCCAAATCGCCCGCAGAGCCTTCCCCCCCAGGCCTCCGAGGAGCTCCAAACGGGCCCCACGAGGCTCCCAAGCGGCCCCCAAGAGCCCCCCAAGGGGGTCCAAAAGGCCCCCAAGAGGCGCCAAGAGGGCCCCAAGAGGCATCCAAGGCGCCCCCACAGGAGGCCCCCAAGAGCCTCTAAAATTGCTGCGCAAGAGCCCCCGAGAACCCTGCGAAGAGACACCGAAAAGGATCCATGAGGGCTCTCACCCAAAACCGCAGCAGCGCCGACCAGCGGCGCCGCATGGCCCACGAACGCGCGCGCGCAAAAGCCAACGATGGCCAACGAAGCCATCTTAGATGGGCCCGCGAAATGAGCGAATCGATTGAATAAAGAACCCAATTCCCCCCTCCATCCCCTCGTCTTGACATTGGAAACTCTTGCGCTCGATCGAAGTGTTGGGTTCAAGCATGTTTCCAGCCCCGCCTCTCCAGAAACGCTTCTTCGATAGAATGGCCAGGGGACGGAGGAGGGTCGTGCGAAATGGCTCCTCCGCGCTTGCTGCAGCGCTCTGTCCTCCAAAGGCGCCTGCCACCTTGGTGGGCCTCCCAGCGCCATCCTGACGAGCGCTCATGAAGGGGCCCTGGGAGGAGGCGGCCCTCCTGCCGGTGTCCCGGGGGGCCGCCGCCGGCCAAACTCCTTCCAAAGGCTGGGGGGGCACGAGTGGTGCTCGTCGGAGGAGGGGGGGGAGAGTGAGGAGGGGAAGAGGAGGAGGAGGAGGAGGAGGAGGGGGAGGAGGAGGATGAGGAGGAGGACGATGAGGAGGGGAGGGGGAAGATGAGGAAGCGGAGGAGGAGTGTGGGGAGGGAGAGTGAGGAGGGGACAGTTTGCTTCTCATCGGCCTTGGAGGCCCCAAAAGATGGCTCCCAGATGGCCCAAGGGGGCCCCAAGAAGGGCCCACGAGGAGCCCAAGAGGAGCCCGAGAGGGGCCCATGGTGGCCCCAGGAGCGCCCCAACGGCGCCCCAAGGAGGCCCCAAGAGGCGCTTGGGGGGCTTTTCAATGGGAGGGCCGCAGTTGACGCCGCCCTCTTTTTTCATCGATGGCCTCCAACATGGCCCCGAGCGGGCCCCAAAGGCTTCCAATACTTGCTAGGCACCAGAATTGTTGACCATCGGCGGAGACTTGCATAGCTGGTCCATCGTGCCGCGGACGGTCGATTCGGACGCAGAAGTGCCCTGATGTGGACTCGCGAGCCTTCGTGAGCTCCCTGGGATGGGCAGCCAGCGAAGCAGGAGCGACAACGTTGGATAAGGATTCCCAGGGCCACACTGCGTCAAAGCGAGAACGAATACAATGGAGCATCGCGTTGACACCGACATGGCAGCGACGATGACACTGACAATATCAAATGACCCATGCGGAGTGATTACGCTGTGGGTGGGTCCAAATTGGAGCGATTGCTGGGCCTATGTCTTATGGGACGGAATACTGATCACACCATTTGATATATATATATATATCGAGATATATATATATATATACACATACTATAATACCATTACGGGGTACGATCCCATCGGATTCAGACCGCTCCCTGACCAAACATCTGTCGCTAAGATTATACGGGCGGACGGGGGTGTCCACAGCTTGACGTCTTATAGTCAAAACCATAATGCCCCCGTTTATAAGACAAAGTAAAGTCCTAGTACGCTGCCAAGAAACTCCCACATCGAAAGATCGGCGAAGGCATTCATGGTAATTCCTGGGCCTGCTCAGGCTGACCCCGATGTTCGGTAAGACGGCTGCCCCACCTCTTTGTTCCACCGATTGCTCCTACACTTCCCTGATAAAGGCAACTCACTGAGCTTCGTTTCTGGATGGACTGGTGGGGATATGCTAAGCGTCAAGAATCGGCAGAAAGTGCTGCACGAAAGAAACCCCGCTCCCGAAAAGCCCAACGTCCCCCTGAATGGTGGGACATAGCCGGTGCGTGGGCGGTCTGGCGCGGGTCTTCCGCGGTAGCCTGACGGACAGCGAAGGCAACTGGGGGGGACCAAAAGGTGCTTACAGTCAAAAGCCCTAGTAAGGACGCGCGGCAAGGACGCAAGACCCTTGGAAGCCGCAGTTGGGATTTCTGGGGGCGGCGGACGGCGGAAACCTCGAGGACGCAAGAGCAAGGAAGAGGCAAGGACGCAAGGGTACCCTGAGCAAAGCCGCGCGTTCCTTTTTTAGGGTTTCTGACTGTATACCGCTTCTCCCCCCCAGAGGAGGAGGAGGAGGAGGAGGAGGAGGAGGAGGAGGAGGAGGAGGAGGAGGAGGAGGAGGAGGAGGAGGAGGGGGAGGAGGAGGAGGAGGAGGAGGAGGAGGAGGAGGAGGAGGAGGAGGAGGAGGAGGGGCGCGCGCCGGCCGATCCCTCCCACGGCAGGCACGCGAGGCCAGGGAGCGAGATGCCAGCAGGCGCCCCCGCGGAAAGCTCGGATCCACCATGGGGCCCTCGGGGGCCGGGGGCCCACAGATGCCGACAAGAATTTCCTGGGGGGGATTCCGACAAGAATTTCGCAGAGGACCCCGCCGGGGCGACGAAGGCCTCCCAGGAAACCCATACCAGGGTAAAAAGGAAGGAAGGACAGCGGCGTCGGTATGGGAGGCCTGGAAATTGGCACCAACACCAACACAGGGGGGTGCCTCCACAGGGGGAAGATGATCCTAGATTTCGGTGTTGGTGGTAATATTTCGGCCACCTTGGAAGCCAGAATATTACCACCATCACCGAGATCGGGATCTTCTTCCCTCGTTGGAGGCACACCGCCGAAATTGGTGTTGGTGTCAACCTCTAGGCCTGCGACGGTAGCCCTTCCTCCTCCGAGGAGCGGGTCAGGCGCGCTCCTTGCTGGCGAAGGCGCCGCAGTGGTAGTCCGTGGCAAGCCCCGAGCAGCAGTCCTCGGTGGCGTCGGAAGAGGGGGGCGTCCAAGAGGTGGGCTCGCAAATCGTGGCCGTAGGCACATGTAGGCACCAGCGTCGACGACGGGCCGACCAGGGGACGTCTTGAAAAAAGACGGGGCTGCGGCGCGCCTGGTCTGCGCCCACCACCGTTAGGTAGCAAAGTAGCGCATGGGGGCGGGCGCGGGGACCAGACTTGCCTCGAAACGGGCCCCGTGCGGCTGGCAGTGGGCGGGGAGGGGGAGGGGGGAGTGGGGGGCAAAATAGAAGATGATGAGTAATCGGTGAATGCGAGCAGGTCGCCGAGCTATGAACCCTCGACCTGGCGCAAATAGCATTTTGGGCGTATTTCCTGTATCTGGTGCCTCGGGAACAGGCTGCGTCTAAGACTGAAAATAAAAAATACCGGAGATCTCAGGGCCCCGGCTACGAGATATCCACACGCTTCTAGTCATCACCCCCATCTTGGCCGCCTCCGATCCCTGACTCAAGGTGTCCCCAGGATTTCCGGGGACGCCCAGGCGGCCTCCAGAGCACCCCATCGCGAAGCCAAGAGGGCCCCAGGGGCTCCAAAACGGGCGCAAAAAGCTGAGGACGTCTGGGGCCAGGGACATTTTTCCTCACCGCGGGCGCAGAACAGCCACTGTGTTACAGTGTAGTTGCGAATATCTGAACTTGCTTCTCGGAGGGGCGCGGGTGATTTACGATCCATTACATCGAAGCAAACATTTGTTGATTTTGGCGTTTGCGAGCAGGCACTTTGCGAGTAGTGGAACGCGCTCGGTGATGTAAGATACTGTAAGGTTCTGCGCCTGAGGTGATCCAACTACGGGGCCGCGGGACTAGCGAGCCCTCAGCCACAAACCAACACCTAGGTTATTCTTACAAACGTCCTGAGCGTTTTTTTTCGTTTTTGGCTTAGCCGGTTTGCATTTTGGGTTCTTGACAAGTTAAGAACGCAAAGACAAAATAAACAAGGCTAACCAACATAACTCCACAGTTTTTAGCGTCATTAGCTCAATTTGTTTCAGGGGTTGTTAGGCCCGTCGCTGTGGACCATTGTTTATGTGATCGCTGCTTGCTTTCTGGCCGAAGGCTGTTCCTTGTCTTCCCTGCTGTCTTCGCTCTCCATTCTCGTTTCTGTTACCGCTCTCCCTTGCAGAAGTCGAATCGCAAACAAGACGCTCGAACACCGGTTAGGAAGGCACCAACTATACACCAACACCGATCCTGGCCAGGATCACCCTGGGCCCAGGATCGGTGTATACGCCCTCCTGCCTTGGGCAAGAAGGCATATACACCGATCATGGGCCCAGGGTGATCCTGGGCCAGGATCGGTGTTGGTGTATAGTTGGTGCCCTCCGACCGGTCTGACACCCGTCCGAGACAGGCCCAGAGGCCCGATGGCCCCAAGGAAGGGCCCATCGGCAAATCGGGCCTCGACGGCCCGACGGCGCAGGAGCGGCCCCGAGGACGGCGAGCCGTCGGACCGAGAGAGCCGGAGGGCCGAGAACTGCACGCCATGATCGGGGAGACGTAAGACCCGGGTACGGGGGACTCGGAAATCCCCGACGAGGTCGTCAAAAAAATGACGAGGCCGAGCCTGCATTTTGACGAGGCCTCCCGCTGCAGACATCCCACAAAACGCCTCCTCGTCAAAATCCGAGTCGCGGTCGTCAAAAAACGATGGCGAACCCGAGTCCTGGCAAACCCGGGTCTTACGCTCCCCCGACATGAGAAGGAACTGAGGACGTCGTAGACGGCAATGTTACATAATGCAACCAAACTGGTCTGAGAACGTGGAGAAGAACGCAGAAGCAACGCAAACGACAGATTGTTTCTTGGCGTGTTCCGTTGTTTTGTCTGGGACCCAAAAGCGCTACATAACACCATGATTTCCAACACGCCGAATTAAAAAAAGGTAAACAAGCGCCCGCATGTTGAGGAAGAACCAAGGCCACCATCCCCCGGCCATGATATCTACACACGCCTCGCTGTCACTACCCACTAGGCCGCCCCCGAAGTTAGAAGTCGACCAACAACTACAGAAAGAGAAACCTTCGGAACTCCGCGCGGATTTGTTGGATCTGCGCTGGATCCCCATCTTTGGACGCCCGAGATGGGTACGGAAAGAATGGGTACAATGCCCAACAACAAATGTTGTCCCAAACCAACAGCGGCCGCTGTTGGGCAGGCGGCTTCCTGCCTCGAATGGGCACAGGCCGCGGCGGCGTGGACAGCGAGCCCTGTTCAAAATGAACAAGATCCGCTGTTGGACATTGTAATTACCCATTCTTTCAGTACCCATTTCGCGCGTGAAGACCATCCACCGGAGCGCGGAGCGCGCCAGGGGGCGGCGCCGGAGGCGTCGCCCAGGGGCGCGCAGCGCCGACCCCAGAAATTGTGCGCTTGAGCTCCGAAGGTTTATCTGCTCATGCCAAGCTTGAAGGGGCCCAGGGACACACAAATAAACACACACAAATAAGACTGTTCCCCATATTTTCCTATATGTTCTGGGTGCCTGTCTTCTCCCCCACTTCCCATATTTTCTTATATTTTCTGGGGGATCGGCGATGACTTGTGTCTGTGTGCTTCTTTTCCTCCTGAAAGCTTTCTTCTTCGATCTTGGCTGCCCCCGAAGTCCAGCCCAATGGCCCAGTAGTCGTACGACTCCAGCGCGGCGCTGCCGGTGACGATCGGGGCCACGCAGTACTGCGGCGGAGGGCGGCGGAGGCGGATGGGGCCAGGGGCGGGGCGGCGAGAAGGCAGATCGCTCCCGCCCCACTTCCGTGGCAAACCTCCTCCTCCTCCTCCTCCTCCTCCTCCTCGTGCTTCACCTCCTCCTCCTCGCTGCTCCTCCTGGCCTCTCCATGCTCGTCCCCCCCTCACCCTCGTCTGGTCGGCCAGGGCCTGCTCGAGTGTGCGTAGGCCCCCTTGGCTACTCGGGTGGCCTGAGCGGGCCACAGGTGCTCGTGGGCCCCCCACCCCTCCCAGCGATCCGGGCAGCATGAGAGGAGCCCGAAGGGGAAGCGTAGGGCTGGCATGACTCACTGAGGGGAACGGGTCCTGGACGTCGTGGCCTGGACCCCAAGACTTCTGTGGCAACTCACGGGAGCCTGGGGGCCTCCCATATCATCCTGCCAGCTCCTGCGAATCGACACCGACGCTAGTCGACGCTGAATCGACGCTATTCGACGCTAGATCGGTTCCCTCGCGTCGACTTCCAGACGCTAGCACACGCTCGCGCACTCCGAAGACTGAGTTTCGAGGACACAGGAGGCCCCCGTGAGTTGCGACCGAGCCCCACGAACTCGCGGAGGGATGGCGGGCGAGGAGCAGCGTGCCAGTGATGGCGGTGAAATGTGGAGGTGGTGGCAGCCACCGCTCTGCTGGCGGTGGCGAGCAACTCCGCCCTGCCACCTACGACCCGCGAAATGGATGCTCGCTGGGCCCGGGAAGGCACCGCCGACTGCAGAGGATTACCAGCCTGGAACATATCCCTATCCCTATGCTGGGCATCTCCTCATCACGATGCCAATCTTAGGGATTCCCTTACTTTTTGAGGGCGAATCCCTAAGATTGTCATCGCCTTCTGGCGTGTCAATCTTAGGGATAGGGATACGTTCGAGGCTGGTACGAGGAGACCGTCGAGCGCGGATCGATGGGCCGTGGAGCGCCCCGCTGCAGCGTGCGCGCCTGTCCCGGGCACGCCCACGGCCGCCGCCAGGTGCCTCGTGCAGGCGGCGTCGGCTCCGAGCCGGGCGGGGGCGCTCTCGGAGCTCAGGTCCAGGGTCACGCAGGACGTCGCCTCGCGCCTCGGAGGCGGCACCTGCGGCAGGCGCCGAGGAGCAGTGCACACGGCTGGGCTGGTGTTCTGTGGCTCGGTGCCGCTGGCAGGAAAGAGCGGCGGGGCGCGGGGCGATGCGAAAAGGACGAGCGACGAGAAGGGCGCCGCGGGCTCCTCGTGCAGGTTCTTGAACCCGATGGCCTTCGTGAGGTCCAGGTGGGTGCCGTTGGCGAACGTCACCTCGGCGGCGGCGGGCGTCCAGACCAGGCTGGCTCCGTGTCAACCTACGGTAAGGGTGTTGGGTGGGGAAGCATTGGACGCCCGAAATGGGTACGGAAAGAATGGGTACAATGCCCAAACCAACAGATGTTGTCCCAAACCAACAGCGGCCGCTGTTGGGCAGGCGGCCGTCTATCTCAAATGGACACAGGCCGCGGTGGCGCGGACAGCGAGTCCTCTCCGAACTGAACAAGAACTGCTGTTGGGCATTGTACCCATTCTTTCCGTACCCATTTCGTTCGTGCAGAGAAGCATTGGATAAGGAATCCAGGGTCTGAAAGCTGGTGGAACACCAATCGTATATTAACCATAGATCTCACCGCCGCCCTCATCAGATAAGGATCCATCCAGGGTCTGAAGCCTCGTGGGCACATTCCTTGACGAACGCCCCCACCGTACTCTGAGCTTCCAGAGATGTTCTAGCGGCATGCGCCCTGATTGAGGGCAGCCTTCTGGTCCACCTGACCCCAGACTCATCCTTCTCCTCCGAGCTCGTGCGATGCTCGCTGCCTGCTCTGAAGAGGTGCGAAGGGAGAGAGAGCGAGAGAGAGAGACAGAGAGAGAGAGAGAGACAGAGACAGAGAGAGAGAGAGAGACAGAGGGAGAGAGAGCGAGAGAGAGACAGAGAGACGGAGGGGCCCGCCGAAGACTTCGATTCGCTCCAAGAAGTCCTGCAAGGGGGCTTCCCCCCCCCTGTGCGCTGTGCGGGTTGGGGCCTCCAGGATTTGCTGTCCCCCGGGCAGCCCTTCGGGGACCGAGGGCATGCCCCAGGATTGGCGGTGGACAGACCTCCCTTTGGCAAACCTCCCGCAGTGAAAACGGCCTGGGACCGAAACCGACGGACCCGGACCCGCAGAAAAATGGCGGCCGCGACGCCCTCTCGCGAACCGAAAACGGCCAATGCCTCAATCGACGCGTCAGGGTAGGAGGTCGATCCGCCTCCGACGGGATGGCCATCCTGAAGGAGCCCTGGGACACACAAATAAATACACACAGATAAACATATTCCCAATATTTTCCAATATTTTCTAGGTTTTTGTCTTCCCCCCCCCCACTTCCCATATTTTCCCATATTTTCTGGGGAATCGCCGATTAATTGTGTCTGTGTGTTTCTTCCCCTCCTGACACCCTCCCAAGGCCGTCCAAGAGCTGCCGAAAACAACTCCTTGAAGGCCCTGCACCGTGGCCGAGTGCGGCCTCCCGACTCCCCGAGAGGCCCCCGAGACGACCAGGAGATCAAGGGAGCCTTTTTGGACCCCCCCCTTCACCGTACTCGATAATGACCCCTGGCCATACTGACACCCACCGGGCCGCAGGAGGAGGAGGAGGAGGAGGAGGAGGAGGAGGAGGAGGAGGAGGAGAGCCATTTTGGACCCCCCCCCTTCACCGCAGTCGATAATCGATACACTCCGGAGGACCCCCTGGCCACACTGACCCCCCCCGGGCCGCAGCAACAGCCAACGGGGCCGCAGCAGCACCTCAGCTCTCCCCTCCCAAAAGGCCGCCCAGGAGCTGCCGAGGGCGGCTCCTCGACGGCCCTGCACCGTGGCCGAGCGCGGCCTCCCGGCTCCCCAAGAGAGGCCCCCGAGGCGGCCGGGAGGTCAAGGGAGCCCCACGACGCCCACAAGAAGTGTGCCCCAGGAGGGGCCCCAGAGAGTTTGCCAGCGGGCCCACAAGATTTGTGGATGCCATGACAATGGACACTCCAACAGTCCTATCATTGAGCTTAAGATGTGTTTACACTGTGTAAAACATGCTCTAAGCATGTTTCGAACATGCGTTTGATATATTCAAAACAGATTCGAAGCATCTTTTAGACATCTGGAAATGATTTGCCAGCACGCTTCCTCTCCATTAATCGCCTTCCACAACACAAGATGTCCTCCAAGACAGCCCCAAGGCCAAAGGGAGGTCACCAAGGAGGCCATCAGAGGCCTCAAGACCAGCCCACGGGGCCCGAAGAGGCACCAAGATGACCTTCAGAGGTTCCCATGAGGAGTTACTGTAGCCTGCCTCACCGACCACAGGGGGGCAACGAGGACTCGCCAGAAGCGCCTTCAATCCTGCGCCCGACTGTGGTTCGTCACAGGTGGGGTGGGCGCGCTGAACCCTAGGCAACCTGCAAGTTTGGCATTGCGAGCTCCTCAGATGGCCCAAGATGCCCCCACGTGACCTAACGTGCGCCTCGACTGAAACTGCCCAAATGCTACAGAAAACTGCTGGGGGGCCTCAGGCGACCGCCAAGATGGCATCGAAGAGCATCCTAAACAAGTCATGGTCGGCACTAAACTCGAGACTTTACAACCCGTTTTCTGCGATTTCCAATGGGGCCGCCGAGCCCTCGCCAAATTTCCAAGACCACCGCCAACGAAAAGATGTTAAAATTATAATTCCGTGTCTTGGCGTCTGATGGACCGCAGATGCTTCACAATGTGTCCCCAGGGTGGCTCACAGGAGTGCCCACGAGAGCCCAGGAAGGGCCCCCCAAGACCCCTCCCCCACCCAGGAAGCCACTCGGATGGCCAAAGACGCACCAGCGTAGCCCAAAGACGCCCGTGACATGCCACCCGAGGTCACTTCGACAGCTCTGGGGCCCCCAAAAAATGCACGGCAAGGCCCGAGGGGCCCCGAAGGCCGAGACACGACGGCCCAGAAAAGCGTCCGGAAGCGCTCCAGATCGATAATGAACCAGATCGATAATGAACTGTTTCTGCTACAGCTCATCTACAGCTCGAGGGCACGGCACAACAACAACCGGTGACACTTCTCGCCCACATGCCGTGCTGACGCTACCATTTTCCGAGAAAGCCCTGGACATGCTGTGACGACGATTCTACATGTTCTGAGAACCGGCTTTTTTAAAACAGCAACACCAGCGCTGGGAAAACAGGGGAGACTTACCAAGAGCCACTGTACGTTTGACAAGCATGGCTGGAATGATCCGCAGGCGATGCAGAAAGTCCGACACCGAATGTGCGAACCAAGCTGTACGATCCACACTTTGCTGGCGATGGGAACTGTGCGGCTCAGATCACGCAGAGACAATCTCCAACAACCACGGCCAGGAAGCGGCTGAATCAACTAGATCTGCCCCCGTGACCTCTGGCTCTGGAAGGCAATGCATTGGCATCAATTCCCTGAGAATTCTGCGTAACAGTTCGAGCATCTGCTTGCCGCGTGACCTTCTTCGAAAATCAGAAACGCGATTCGACGGCAGACCAATCACATGCCCGCGAATATGCCCCAGGAATGAGGTGCGGGCGGGCTCGGCCAAACAACACTGCCGTGACGAAAGTGGATGCAGTTTGGTATGACGTTGGGATATCCGATTCTTCTGCAGATTCTTGATATGAGCAAGCGGTCCCTGCGCTCCCACGGAGTACTTCGAATTCCCTTCAATCGATGACTCTGTTATCTCAAACCGGGATCAGATCGGAATTACCCGGCCCAATGTATTGTGACAAACGGGGCGGGACGCATGTCCGCGCGAAAAAAAATGGTTCTCCGCCTCCTCCGCCAGTCGTGAGTCATCTTACATGCAGACCGCATGATAATATTCCCACGGTGTTGTGGTTGCGTGCGTTTGTATAAGGGGCGAACTCGGGGAATGAAATCACGCTTTTCGCCTCTCGGTCTAGGGGCCCTCGAGAGGCCTTGAAGGCGCCCGCATCCTATTTGGACGCCCGAACTGGGTACGGAAAAAATGGCACAATGCCGAACAACAAATGCTGTACCAAACCAACAGCGGCCGCTGTTGGGCAGGCGGCCTTCTGTCTCAAATGGACACAGGCCGCGGCGGCGCGGACAGCGAGTCCTGCTCAAAATGAGCAGGAACTGCTGCTGGGCTTTGTACCCATTCTTTCCGTACCCATTTCGTTCGTGCAGATCCCAGGACGCGGCAGCCTTCCGAAACCTGTTCGCGGGATCCCCCCGGGGGGACTTTCCGGGAGCACGGCCGGGAACCCCGACTTGCCTCCTCCTGGAACCACAGCCAACCGGGAGTCCAAGCCGCACCTCCGAGAGCCTTCCGGCTTCAGGAACATGGCTGGAGAGCCGCCCCGGCCCCCACCCCCCGCTAAGATGGCCTCGGTGTCTCGCACATGCCCCGCGAGCAGCCCCGGGAGGCCCCCACAGCCCCCCCAAGAAGCCCCAAGAGGCCCCCAAGAGGCGTCCCACGAGGCGTCCCACGAGGCCATCAGGAGGCCAACATCATCGATTGTTTATAGGTGATCGTACATTTTTAGCATACACGGCGTTGCGGCTTTCACAGCGTTGAAGACGGTCCAAGAGGCCCCCGAGACCGCCCCAAGACGCTCTCCAGTAGCATGAGTGAGAACTCTGCTTGAGGCCCCCCCCTCACGAAGAAGGGAGGAGGGAGGCGGAGTGGGGACCCCTTGAGAGACATTGCTGGGAACCCACCCTTGCCTCCGCCAGGCAGAACTGTTGTCCCAAGGCCGCCCAGAGGCCACGCGAGCAACATATCAACAGTCCTAAGAATATTCCCGTGTGCGGAATTCTTCAGGAGCGAATGGAGGGCAGGGAATGGGGCGCCCGGGGGCCCGGCGGGATGAGGCAACGAGCTCCCAAGAAGTTCCATGAACCTCCCCAGAGGCCCACACGAAGCTCAAGTTAGAGGCTCGCCAAAGGCCACCAGGAAACCGCCGAGAAGCCCCGATGAGGCATCAAACAGCGATTCCAATGCAACCCCGCTACCCTATAACATCGCAGCGCTGATTCCCGCCACGCGGCACACTGCTCCCCACAGTGTTCCTAGGAGCCTCCTGGAGATTCTCAACGGGCATTGTCGGGACTGCTGTCTTAGGTTCTCGCTTCTCACTGCGCCCATGGCCCATGATCCAGGCACGGTGGCGGGATGCGCCCAAAGTCACCAGCTAGGGGAAAGGCCGTGCGAGCCGGAGCGCGCTCGTGTCAGAAGAAGCGAGGCCAGCATGCTCCCGCAATTGCATGAAATCTGCTTCCATTTCGTTGAATGTCGTGCCACTCCCCCACATCCCCCACATCCCCCGCTGCTGTGCTCGCCTGGCCGACGTCCATCAGCTGGCGCCCCGTCATGACAGAGGTGTCCACGCTGCTGGGGGCCGGATGTCACTTGTCCGGGAGAGGCTCGGCATTGGAGCCGGCACGATGCTGGGACGGACTTTGCGACATAGCAGGGTGGCAGCAGTGCCGGCGCACGAGGAAACAAGCAGATAAAGTCAAACGCGACGGCTAAGTCCTCGCTCTCTCTCTCTTGTTTTACATACACGATATATGTATATATGTGCACATATATATATATAGAGAGAGAGAGAGAGAGAGAACCACGCGCGCTACGCGCGCTTAGGTTGTAGTCACATGTAGTCGCAGTTAGGCCACGGCTCTCGTTTTCGCCCGTGTCATGGGCGACGCCGCGAATATCCCCGCAGGTGCGGTCTGCGGAGCCTGCGTCCGCCTCGGCCCTCTCCTGTCCTTGTCCCTGTGGGTCCTCGCCGCTGCCGTGGTGCTCCTCTTCCTCCTGGTCCGTCTGTGCTCCCTCCATTGCTCTCCCGTTCCCCTCTCCCTGCTCCCTCTTTGCTCCTTTGCGATCATGCTCCTCCTCCTCCTCCTCCTCCTCCTCCTCCTCCTCCTCCTCCTCCTCCTCCTCCTCCTCCTCCTCCTCTCCTCCTCCTCCTCCTCTCTCCTCCTCCTCCTCCTCCTCCTCCTCCCTCCCTCCTCCTCCTCCTCCTCCTCCCCTCCTCCTCCTCCCTCCTCCCTCCTCCTCCTCCTCCTCCTCCTCCTCCTCCTCCTCCTCCTCCTCCTCCTCCTCCTCCTCCTCCTCCCCCTCCTCCCCCTCCCTCCTCCTCCTCCTCCTCCTCCTCCTCCTCCTCCTCCTCCTCCTCCTCCTCCTCCTCCTCCTCCTCCCTCCTCCCTCCTCCTCCCCTCCCTCTGTGCCCCCCTCCTCTTCTGCTCCCGATATCCTCCTCATCACTTGCCTCCTCCTCCTCCTCCTCCTCCTCCTCCTCCTCCTCCTCCCCTGCCCCCTCTGTGCCTCTGATCTGACATTTTGGATGTCTCGTAGGGGTCTCTCGACGGCCTCGTGGAGGCGTCGTGCAAGCCTTCTCTGGGGCCTGGGGGGGCCTATTTGGGCCCTCGTGGAAGCCGTCTCCCTTTTCCTCCCTCCTACTTTCCGCTCCTTCTCCTCTCGCCTCTCGCCTCTCGCCTCTCGCCTCTCGCCTCTCGCCTCTCGCCTCTCGCCTCTCGCCTCTCGCCTCTCTCCTCTCGCCTCCTCCTCCTCCTCCTCCTCCTCCTCCTCCTCCTCCTCCTCCTCCTCCTCCTCCTCCTCCTCCTCCTCCCCCCTGTGACTAGGCGCTAGGCGAGTCCGACAACTCGGTGTGCAAGTGTGAGGATGAGGAGCACGACGACGACGACGACGACGACACGAGATTGATAATAAGTATTAGCAGTGGCTTCCAAGAGAACCCACATGTATCGCGAACGGCATCCATCCTGAGAGCGATCTGCCCAGCTGAAGAAGCATACACACACACACACACACACACACACACACACACACACACACACACACACACACACACACACACACACACACACACACACACACACACACACACGCATCGCGTCGCGATTCTGGTGGTTCCCACACATACCTGGTTCCCTAGAGATTGAATTCCAATTAAATCCTTTCTCCCACTGCAAGAACACACTGCTGTAAGGATTAAATCGAGATTTAATCCTTATTAAAATCGAAAAACCGGCTGTTTAGCGCCTCCTCCTCCTCCTCCTCCTCCTCCTCCATTCCTTCTCCTGGTAAATAACTTCTCCCTGTCGCCGTACCCCGAGGCCAGTTGTTAGGACGGGCCGGGCGTTGTGTCTGACTTCCTCACCACTTATGACTCTGAAGCTTACAAATTGGCCACAATGTCACAGATGGAGGGCGGGTGGTTTTCAAAATGTGGCTCTCGCCTTAGGATTCGTTTGAACAATTGCAAGACTTTCACGGATTGAGGGCGGGTGGTTTTCAAAATGTGGCTCTCGCCTTAGCGCGGCGCACCATCATTTAAGAAAATTCACGGATTGAGGGCGGGTGGTTTTCAAAATGTGGCTCTCGCCTTAGGATTCGTTTGAACAATTGCAAGAGTTTCGCGGATTGAGGGCGGGTCGTTTTCAAAATGTGGCTCTCGCCTTAGCGCGGCGCACATTCATCGTAAGCGTTTGCAGGACTTTCGCGTACTCCCATCATCAACGTGTCAGAAATGGTGCTTTGAAAGGATTCAGGATCATGCGTGTGCAACAGTTATTTTGATTCGCTGTGTTGAAGTCCCCGGAATGGTGTTCTGGCACGATTCAGGATTGTCAAGACGCAACAGTCGCAACAGTCAGGTTGATCCGTGGCGTTGGAACCCCGAGAACAATGTTGTGGCATGCTTCAAGGTCTTCAAACGGTTGTCTTCCAAAGAGGCAGTTCCTTCAATGGAAATGAACCGTTGTAGGGGCCAATGAAGAGGGAGCTTGAAGGGAGGGTTTATTCCTACATCGTTGATTTTTTTTAGGTTTACACTGGTCCTCCTCCTCCTCCTCCTCCTCCTCCTCCTCCTCCTCCTCCATCATCATCCTCCTCCATCTCCTCCTCCTCCTCCTCCTCCTCCTCCTCCTCCTCCTCCTCTCCCCTCCTCCTCCTCCTCCTCCTCCCCCTCCTCCTTCTTCCTCCTCCCCCTTCTCCTCCCCCTCCTCCTCCACCTCCCCCTCCTCCTCCTTCCTCCTCCTCCTCCTCCATCCTGTCTCTCTCCCTGTCCTGTCTCCCTTCCTCATCCCTCCTCTTCCCCTGCTCCTTTCTCATTCGTACTTTCTCCGCCTGCCTTCCGCTTTCCTCATCCATCCTTCCTCCTTCTCCTCGTCTCTTCACATCCCTCATCGTGGTCGTCGTCGTCGTCGTCGTCGTCGTCGTGCCCCTTCTCCTCCTCCTGCTCCTCCCTCTCCTCCTGCTCCCTCTCCTGCTCCTCCTCCTCCTCCTCCTCCTCCTTCTCCTCCTCCTCCTCCTTTTCCTCTCTTCCTCTCTTCCTCTCCTTCTCCGTCGTCTCCAGGTTCTCCTCCAACTCCCTCTCCTCCTTCCCTCCGATCCGCAGCACGGCGAAGGGCGTGCTCGCGGCTGCCCTGGCCCCGGGGCGGGCGCGGTCCCTTGGCTGCTGAGCTGGAGGAGGTCCTGGCAGGGAGGACCTCCTCCTCCTCTTCTTCCTCCTCCTCCTCCTCCTCCGCCTCCTCCTCCAGAGAGTGGCGGAACGGGAAGGGGCCTGTGACCAGCTCGGAGCATCCCCTCCCGCCCCCGACTTCGTCTCGTTACCGAAGTCCCTGTCCTAACTCGCCACCCCTCTTCGATGTACAGACTGCGCATGCTGCTTCCATGCACTGCGGAAGCGACGAGTCAATGGAGAACAGGAAGAGTAAAACGCATCCGATGCCTCGCTCGTTTCCCATTTCGCTTCTCTCGCCTCCTCCCATGACTTCGCGACGGGGCGACGTCATGGCAAGCCGCCGTCTCCTCATATGGCAGTGTGTTGTTCCAGTAGTTCAGGTTCCCCAGGTAGAGCCCGAACGCCCAAGCGGCGAGCACCGTGATGGCGAGGAAAATGTACCTCCCAGTCAATGCCCAAACCTTGGAATAACACACATAATGGTACACGAAGTGGGCCATACACGTTCTGAGCTTGTTGCCATGATTGCCAGGTGCCAGCGGCGGGCGCCTCTTGTGTCCTGTGAATGGGCGCCCAGCCCTGGCGGCCTTGATGGTCCACTCCTCCGGTGGGCGCCCACACTGATCGCCGAGCTCCAATGGCCCCGCCTTCATACCCCCTTTCGCTGGCGGGCGTCACATAGTCAGAGGCAATGAGCGCCCGATCTGGGGCCCTGACCTCCCGCTCTCGCCGGTGTGCGCCCAAAACCGTCCGTCCGCAAGATGGAATCCCACCAACAGGGTGTCACCGATCAGGCCCAGCCAGAGGGTCCAAACCCGTGCGCACCGTGGGGTCCAAAGTGTCGGCCCAAATCATAGGGTCCACATCTATGGTCCTACAGGCCTCGGAAGAAAATTGGCGAACACTTATGCAACATATTCAACTGTGAACGCCTCCCCCTCCCCCCAATGTTCAAAGTTGGCGGTGGGTCTGATGAGTTGCACCTCGATCGCAATCTCCCCCGCGCGTGCCAACCGTGAGTTTGGGGGGCAGGGGGGGGTGTTCACTAATTGTTTCCCTCTTACCGTAGCCATAGATAAAGCCCCACGTGTTGCACCCCATTTTCCTATAAGAGTTAGAGCCGACCCCCCCCCCCCACACACACAGCAGCCACCGAGGTCAAGATTAATGACCAACCTGCTCGTGTTTGCTCAGTCTGCGCGATCATTCAATCCAGTATTGAAGACACCCCCGGTCAACCAGTGTCGACCCTCCCCCGACTTGTCAAGAATACGATGCTGTGCACATGCGTTGATCTAGTGAGTGTTTGTACGCAAGAATCTCTTGCGGCAGAATGCGATGCGGAGCACATGTGCGCGACACCGCGCGCATGTCGACCTTATCCAAAAACGTTGGCGAGCTCAGGGCATATAGCTATTTTCATTAAGGGCTACCCAACTAACCCATTGGTTCTTCAGCCAACCTGTTGCAGCATCCTGCGCGCGCGCACTCGCTGGAACCATCAGAAAAGCACACCATGCGGGTCACACGCGCGAACGCATGTCGAAAACGTGCAACCACCACCGCCCGCCCGGCAGATCTGCCGAATTATACCATGCGGGCCACGCGCGAGCGTCTCCGCATGCGCACGTCGAACACCGTCCACGACCATCAGTCCTCCAGCGCTGCAGCGCTTCGAACACGTACGGAATCCCAAATTCCCCAAACAGTGCCTGCAATTAGGGATTCTTCCGTCTCTTCTACTCGCCATCGCTCGGACGTCCATTTCCCGTGCATGTTTCGGTTTCGTGCATGCTTTTGCTTGCCCGATGGTCCAGGATCGTCCTCAATGGTTCTCGCCGAGAAAACATGGACACGTCCGAGCGATGCCAGGTCTAAGGAACAGAAGAGGGTTGTCGATCGGGCGGCTGCGTGCTCGCCGCCGCCGCCCCGTCGCCGCTGCGTTGCCGCCCGTCGCCTGAGGGGGTGGCTGTTGGTCTGGAGGCTCCGTGTTCGCCGTCGCTGCCCTGTCGCCGCCTCGTCGCCGCCAGTCATCTAGGCCTAGTTGTCGGCCTCTCGGCTCCGTGCTCGCTATCGCCGCCTGGTCGCCGCCCCGTCGCCGCGTCGCATAGCTTGCACCGCACCAGATGCTCCGCGCATGTCGCACCTCATGTATTATCCTGTCTGATAAATTCGACCTCCCAAAGCCGGAATTAACGGTTCCCCCCTCGCGATATGTAACTTGCATATGTTTCGGACCTCTGGCCAATTTTACATCTGTTGCATACCATTCCCAACCCAACCGGTATCGACACTCTGCAACAAATACTATGTGCGCGCTCTCGCTAATCCAAAACCATCAATTTCCAAGAATCCGTCGCAACAAATGGGACGAAGTACGCACGCGCGCGTCGTCGCGCGCGCATGCCAGAATCCTTGAAATACTTGAGGTTTCGTAAAGAATTCAAAATCGAGTGTCACAAAACACACATATATATACAGACACACATTGTTTTGAAACAAGATGTTTCCCCAAGTTGCGCCTGCGCTCTTGCGAATGCTTGAAAACCCATCGGTTTTAAAATATGTTTACATCAGATCCTAACATGTTTCCAAATTGGCCTCTCGCGCGCGCGTCGAAATCGTTCGAACGCCGTGCACGCGTGCTGTCGCAAGAACCCATTGCAAAAAAAGGGACGATGTGCACGCTGGCGAATCGTCGCGCGCGCATGCCGAAATTCTTGAAGAACTTTCGGTTTCATAAGACTTCAGAGTCGAGTGTCCCGGCCGGCACATTTGCTTTAAGATGAAACGGCTTTGCAACATCAAAAAAAGTGCACTCGCGCTCTTGCGAAAACGGTAAATTGTACCACATGTTCATCACATTCTGCCAAGCGGGCCTTTCACGCCGAATGTCGAACTCATTCGAACGCCTTTGCGCGCGTGCTGGGGGGGGGGCGCGACCGACGCAGGGATATCGTCATTGTTACCGGCGGGCGTGATCAACATCGGCACCGTCATTGGCATTGCCGTCGTCACGTTCGTCACCATCGCTACCTTCATAATCGTGTCTACCGTTGCTGGCGTCGCCATGACACTGCGCCCGCCCAACTCACCGACTCGCACTGAACTGCCGGCTGGGAACTACCCAGAGGTCAGCGCCACCGCGGCCGCGTCGGTCGCGCCAAACTAGCTGGCCGCTGTGCGCGCGAGCGTGCGCGGGCTGGCGCGGCCAGGGAGATGCACCAGCCAACGCCCAGCACTCAAAATGATCGGCTCCTGTTCACGATTGCCCTTGCGGGCCTTTGCCTTGGGCTCCTTCGGGCCCTGTAGGCTACCTCTCGTCGGCGGTCGTCCCGACAGCTGTGATGATCCCCACAACTGTTGGACCACTTTCGCCAATTGCGAAGCCTGGTCCGCAAGCCCCGCTTGCTGTCCCCGTGCACGCTGAGCCCGCAAACCGCCTTTGCCAGGAGAGCGTCCTCCCACGAGGGGGTCCTCATCCGGATGGTAGGCGGACTGCTCTTTCTTGCCAACCACCCACTGTGGTTGCAGCCCCATGAGGTCGATGTCCGAGAAAACTGTGAGCTCATCGGGACTGATGTGACGATCCGCCAAGCTGGCGGTGCATGTGGTGTACTCTGACTTGGTACGGGGGACCATCCCGTCCTCGCCACGAAGGAGGCGTACACCGAAGAGGACGGCGTTGACAACGACAACGGTACGGCCAGTGACGGCGCTGGCGCTGATCACGCCGACGACGATGACGGCGTCCTCGCCTCGGCGACGAATGGTTTGAAAGGAGTTGGACTTGCGCGCGCGGCCGACGCGCGAGAGTGGCCCGCATGGTATTATTTGACACGGATCGTGCCCCCCCAGCACGCGCGCAAGGGCGTTAGAATGATTTCGGCATGCGGCGCGAAAAGCCCGTTTGGCAGAAATCGGTGAGCATGTTGAGAAACCGATGGTTTCCTTAAGGATTCGCACGAGCGCGAGCGCAGGCTCTCTTGAAAACAGTTGTTGCGAAACCATATGATGTTACATGGCTTCGGGACGCTCGGTTTTGAAATCCTTACGACACCTGACGTTTTTGAGTGATTTCGGCATGCGCGCGCGACGAGGCGCGCGCGTGCACTTCGTCCCGTTTGTCTGCGAAGGATTCTTGCGACAGCACGCGCGCAAGGGCGTTCAAACGATTTCGACATGCGCGCGCGAAGCCCGTTTGGTAGCGTTTGATGAAAAGGTTAAAAACTTATGGTTTTTGTAAGGATTCGCAAGGGCGCGGGCACAAGCTTCTTTAGAACACTCTTGTTGCGAAACCTTGCGTTTTCTTTCATATGCGGAACATTCGATTTTGAATTCGCTGCGAAATACAACGTTACTGAAGGATTTCGGCATGCGCCCACGACGACGCGCGTGTGCACTTCGTACAACTTCTATAAGGGGATGATTGGCAAGTTCGGATATTTGATACATGAGTGTGCGCGCATTTCACAAGTTGACAGGGATGGCGGGGCGGGAGCGATACCAGCCTGCCTGGGATGGTATGGGTTCACATCTAGGATGTACGATGGGGCAGGGCCCTATGCAAATTGCAATACGAAAAATGGGGGCGGATAGCCCCCGGAGGGGGGATATAACATAATTTTCTGAAAATAAGAGAATATATACGGTGCAATCCATGTGGTGCAGTCAGTGTTATGAGCGATCAAGAAGCGCGCCGAAGGCGCGAGATCTGTTTCCGTGCATTCTATGTGGTGCCACCTAATTTCTGTTCGCAATGAGTTGTCCACTCTACTGCTCGCGCAAACATCCCACTCACCCACCCGCAACTTGGTTTGCAAAATCTCTTAAGACCGTGACGGTGGGTACCGAATGGCACTTCGCAACGACATCGACGCCGACGACGACAGCGACAACGACGATGACGACGCCGCCGACAACGACTACGACGACTACGACGACGTCTCCAACGACTTCGACGACGCCGACAACGACGACGACGACGACGACACCGACGACGACGACGACGACGCCGACGCCGACGACGACGATGACAACGACGACGACGATGACGACGCCGACGACGACGACACGACGACGACGACGACGACGACGTCAACGACGCCGACGACGACGACGACGAAGACGGCGGCGACGACGACGACGACGCCGACGTCGACGACGACGAAGACGACGACGCCGACGCCGACGACGAAGACGACGTCGCCAACGAAGACGACGACGAGGGAGGAGGGAGGACGACGACGGCGACAACGACGACAACGACGACGACGAGAGGAGGGAGGACGGCGACGACGCGAACGACGAAGAAGGAAGGGACGGCGACGCCGACGACGACAACGACGAGGGAGGAGGGAAGACGACGACGACGACACGACGACGACGACGACGACGACGGCGACGAAATAGGAGGGACGACGACGAGACGCCGACGACGGACGACGACGACGACGAGGGAGGAGGAGGAAGGACGACCACGGCGACAACGACGACGGAAACGACCACGACGCCAAAGAGGACGACGACGACGAACACGAGGAAAGACAGAGGACGACGTAGGCGACGACGACGACGACGACGCGGGAGGAGGGAGGACGGCGACGACGACGACGACGACGACGACGCAAGAGCGCGCGCGCACGCTTTTGTTGAAAATCCGTGTTGCGAAACCTTGTGTTTTTGTAGGTTTTTTGGACACACGATGTTGAAATCCTTCCGAAACCGATGGGTTTTGAGGGATTTGGCTTACGCGCGCGACGACGCGCGCGTCTGCACTTCGTCCCGTTTTTTGCAAAGGATTCTCGCGACGGCACACGCGCAAGGGCGTTCGACTGATTTCGACATGCGCGCGCGAAGCCCGTTTGGTAGCATTGTGTGGAAATCTTGAGAAACCTATGGTTTTTTTAAGATTTGCAAGAGCTCGCGCGTAAGGTTTTTTAGCAAATCAGTGTTGCGAAACCATGTGTTGTTGTATGTTTTTTGGAAACTCGATTGCAAATCCTTCCGAGACTGAAGGTTTTTGAAGGATTTCGGCATGCGCGCGCGACGACGCGCGCGTGTGCACTTCGTCCAATTTTCTGCAAGGGATTCGTGAAAAAGTCTTAGGTTAGAACAAAAAATTTCCCGCGTATTGTTTGGGAACCTCAGAAGGGGGCCGATACCGGCCCCCCTGGGATAGTGCAAATTCATATTCGGGATGGACATGTGGTCAGAATCATGTATGATCTACGTACCCGAAAGGGGGGCGGATAACGCCGGGGGGGAGGGTAGAGTCTTGGCTCCTCCTCCATCTCCTCCTCCTCCACCTCCTCCTCCTCCTCCTCCTCCATCTCCTCCTCCATCTCCTCCTCCTCCTCCTCCTCCTCCTGCTCCTCCTCCTCCTCCTCCTCCTCCTCCTCCTCCTCCTCCTTCTCCCCCTCCTCTTCTTAGAAAAGGGGAATCAGCGGCGGCGACGGGCGGCAACGAGCCGGCCACGGGGCGGCGGCGGCGACCACAGAGCCGCCAGACCGCCCACCCGGCCCAGACCACGGGCGGCGCCGCGGCGGCGGCGGGGCGGCGACGGCGACCACATATTTTCGCCAGACCCGAAGGGGCCCCAGGGCACACAAATAAAGACACAGAAATACAGATATTCCCCATATTTCCCCCTATTTTCTGGGTTTTTGTCTTCCCCCCCACTTCCCATATGTTTTCCCATATTTTCTGGGGAACCGACGATTCATTGTGCCTGTGTGTTTTTCTCCCTCCTAAAGACCGCCCAGTCGACCCAGTTCGCTAGGAGACAAGCAAGAGCCTCTAAGTGCAGGCGCTGCTCGGCGAATGCTGAACAATGTGAATCGCACCACATTGACTGATCCACGTCTGTTGCACAACATAGGTTGCAAACACCCTGTGTGGGGTCCACGATGGCTGACATGTGTTCTAATCAAAAAACGTCGGGGGTTCAGAATCTCCACACGCGCGCACTTCCTGATCATCCTCATCTGACACTTGCTACCATCACTGCCAGCGTTATCATTGTCATCGCCATCGTCATCGTCGTCGTCATCGACATCGTCATCGCCATCATCATCAGCATCATCAGCATCATCATCATCATCATCATCATCATCATCATCATCATCATCATCATCATCATCATCATCGACATCATCACAATCATCAGCATAATCAACATCATCATCATCACCATATTCATCGTCATCATCACTCTCATCATCCTCCCCATCCTCATCATCATCGCCTTCGTCGCCATAATCATCGCCATCGTCGCTATCGTCAAAATCACCACCGCCGTCGTCGTCATCATCATCGTCATCATCATCGTTGATGTCGTCGCCCTCGTCAAATTTCTTCGCGCACGCACGTCTTCATCACCTTCACCAGCACCATCGTCATCGTCGACATCGTCCCCCCGTCGTCATGAACGTCATCATGGTCATCGTCATTGTCGCTGTCGCCACCCAGTGAGTTTTGCAGACAAGTTGCGAGTGAGCGGGTGGGATGCTTGCACGAGCATTAGATGTGGTCACGCGCGGGCGCGGTCAATATTAGCTGCACCCCATAGGGTATATCCCATCTGTCGTCAATCATGAATTGCCCCTCCCCCCCCCGCGCGGTGCGTTGCACCTCATACGCTTCACAACGCGAGCTGCATCCCAACTTGGTTACACCATTTCACTGCGTGGGATCCACACGTTGGCATCAGATCCTGCTCAACAAATGTTGTAACATGCGCAACAAATTGCGCTCCACTTCCGCTAAGGACCGATTCCTTCATTCCGCAGCACCACCGTGTGACTCCGTCGTTCTGCTGCTTTCTGCCTACGTTTCCGTAACTGCGACCTCTACATGATATTCCTTTGACTTCCCTGTCTTTTAGACCAGGTGCTGCGCCATCTTTCAACAACCCGCTATCACGTCCTCGATCAATCCCTCAGATGCACGGACACTGCTGGAATTGCACTCAACGCGCTCGGTACCAGAAGGGCTCCCTGTTGACGTCGCCGTTCCACCTGGCTTTTGGCCCGCTTCATCTCTACTTCTCCACTAATCGCCCCCGCTCGCAGAAGGGGTCGCAAGCTTTGAGGAACGTATGGGACGCTTTCTGGAATACCCCACGTAACAGAGACGTATGCTTCAGAAATAAGGACCCTTGCTACCTGTACGCGCAGAGGTCTGAAGCTAGCCCCTGGGGAGGGCACTTTCGATACAGCTGAACGATTGGCGCATCGACGCTGGTTCGTGCTGTGTTGCAGCCGCGCTCCTTCGTGTCGCAGGGTGTAGCTGTGCAGCTAGCCAACTCGACATGGCCTGAACGGGTGCGAACGTCGCCGCACTGCTCGGGCATCAACAGCCTGCACCTCCACTCTGGGCCGGTGATCGTGCACGTCGAACGGGCGGCTCCATTTTCTCGGCCTGCCTGCCGACCGCTGGGCCAAGTAAGTGCAGAGCAGCTTCATTGCGAGGACAGCTCACTGAGGAAAGACAGCCTCCGATGGACGCTCGGAAAAGCCGGCAGTCAACCTGGGGAATCGAACCGTGGTGTGAGTCTGCTGCCTTCCTTGCCGCTCACTCAAGATGCACGCCTGATCTCAGTTCGGATTCGCGCCGACCAGCTAAGCGCGAAACGCTGACGGGGAATCGGCGCGTGTTGCTTTGGCGGCCATTCCCTCAATCGAAACGCCGCTTGCAAATACTGGCATGGATGCGCCTGTCTTTCGTCTCTCTGATAATGTCGCCGGGGGGACCAGAGATACCGATACCGCTGCTCCCCGAGCCTCTCCTGGGGTGCGTTTTGGCCAGGAGTGCGAGTCGCATCCAGCAGCGGCGACGGGGGCCTCCCGGGAGGCCCGAAGGGGCGAAAGCGAGGCAACAGTATCGGTTTTGGTACTAGTACCTTCTCCTCCTCTGACGTCGCTTGGCCTCGAGGCCGCCTGGACCACTCGTGGTGCAGTGTACCAGGCAGGCTGACGGGCGGGGCCGAACGCACTCCTACGATTCATCCTGCTCGAAGGCGCGCCGCTGCAGAGCTTGGAGGTGGCGGCGGCCACCTCTTCTTGAACGTGTCGTAGGCCTGGGCGTCCGCCGCAGGAGGGGTGAGGGGTGGGGCGGGGTTGGGGAAGATAGCGAGTGGGATACGGAGGCGCGAAAACCAGCGTGCATGTACAGTCGAGGCGTTGACCTAAGGAACCCTAACTAAGGAACGAGGCCCCTTTTTTCGTAAGTTAAACGTCGACTTCCCATCGAAAACTGAAGGGAAACCTTAGTCAAGGTGTGGAACAATTAAGGAACATCGAGCCCCTCCCCAACGAAAAGGGTTCCTTCTTCAGCGCCCCGACTGTATCATCTGGCTCGGGGACAGCGGGTTAGGTGTCGGCCCTTCTCATATTGTGCAATCGTCTGCAGATGGCAGGGGGCACGTGAGACCGACCTCCCTTTCACATGGGCGAGCTTTGCTCCCTAATATGAACACCCCCCTGCGACGTGGCCCATTAAGCACGGACAAATCGCAGAATCAGCATGTGGGACTCATATATTCACTCCGTGAGGTCCCACCATGGAAAAAGGAGCGCCCCCTCGACCTGGAAACCCGCACAGATATCATCACAAGCGTGATCAGCACCTACATCATCATCATCATCATCATCATCATCATCATCATCATCATCATCATCATCATCATCATCATCACCATCATCACACCATCATCACCATCATCATCATCATCATCATCATCATCATCATCATCATCATCATCATCATCATCATCATCATTATCATCAGCATAATTACCATCATTCGCCACCTCCCCCTCCTCCTCCTCCTCCTCCTCCTCTTCCCTCATGCCTCTTGCCTGCTGCGTCATCCTTCCTTCGTTGTCCTCCTCCTCCTCCTCCTCCCCCGTCCCCTCATGTCCCCTCCTCCTCCTCCTCCTCCTCCTCCTCCTCCTCCTCCTCATCATCATCATCATCCTTCCTCATCCTGCTCCATCTTGCGCCCCCATCCTCAACATCCGCCACCGCTTCCCGTCTCCTCCTGCTCCTCATCTTAAATCCTCCTGTCTCTCCCCTATCCTCCTCCTCTTCCTCCTCCTCCTCTTTGTCATCTCTGTCTCATCCCTCTCGTAATCCTCCACCTCCTCCTCCCTACCCTCCTCCTCCTCCTCCCCCTCCTTCCCGTAGTTCTTTGTGTGGGACTGACGTTTCAATGACAAACATATCACGCCTCTCGGGATGCTTTAGGGAGCGCCATGCCTGTCGTTGCCGGCTGGGTGCTGCACGAGCACGTCTGTGAAACTGCTCAACCACAGGTGCGCTGTTCAAATATAACCACCCACGTTAATCGTGAGACTTGACGACCGACGTCAACAGTACGTGGCCGCCTGCGCAGCAAGGTTGCGCGTAAGTGGCTTCTGCAAGTGACAACATGTACCAACCCTGCAGTCCGATCCGGGGCCAGATTGTGGGACCACTGATTCGACAACAGTATGGGCGATCAAGAGGTCAATCTGATACACGACCAGAAAACCACGTGTGCTCCTTCTCTCTCTCTCTTGTCTCTCTCACTCGCATGCTGTATTCTCTACCGTAGACTGCCCGTTCTTACCACCAACAAATCAGCACGTGCCCATTTCCGCGTGCCCGCTTGCGCCTCCCACGACCGATACCGGCTCCGTCATTTCGAAGACAACTCCCTCAAGCTCGGCTCCCTGACATCCCTTAGGCCCTCCCGAGCATCACAATCTCAACTGTTTGCAGCCAGGTCCATATGGCAACGGAGGGGCCTCGTTGATGGAGAAAGCAATGCACGACAGCGACAACATTGCTCTATGCTGGCAATGACGAAAGGGACGGCCAACTAAAGGCTCGAGCTTAGGTGTGGCATGGGCGCCCCGGAGAGAGTCGCGCCTGGTAGCACATAGCGATGCAGGCCAGCAACAACACCCCAACGATGAGCCAAGAGACCGTGGAAGCGCTGTACCGCAAGGAGAAGGACATCGAAGCAGCCACTGTCGCCGCAATTATTCAACAACCAGAGCAGCACCGCATGCTTCGTTCACTCATGGCTGCCTCTCGTAAACCCTAGCAGAGCTGCAGACAGCAACCTGCGGCAGGATGAACTGAGTTAGTCGATAACTTCCTCTCTCCATTATGCAAACGAGCCCATTGGAATAACTCTCTGAGAAAGTGGTACCTCCATCAGACTTGCGACACGGATCTTACGTCATTGACGCATTACGCTGCAATTGCGAATCGAATTGCATAACGCTGCTTTCAAGAAGGCTGGCTGAGCGGGCGGAATAAACAAGGTTGCGTCTGTGGGCTGACCCCCGCGTACCGAAAAAGTCCAGCACCAACATCTAACCAAAGTGTGTGCGATGAAACGAACCAAAGCCTTATAAAGGCCCATGAGCGGAACGCTTTTGCTGGACCGCTCCGAGTGCAGATACAACCGCTCAGTACAGTTAGGCCTCATCTTCCCTTCGTTGACGCACAAGTCTATACCCCAGTGTGCAATAACTTAAGCGTGGGCGAGGGGCAACGGATAAAACAGCTTCATCGAACCTACTGTCCTTCAAGCCCTGCTGCACGACATCCGCCGCTGTGCCCCTGGCACGAAATCGAGTGGCCTCATGTCCTTGATGGCCCTGAGCGCTCGCATATTCAAGGCCACAGTACTGTGGCATGATTTTGAAGATTATTGAGGGCAACGGGCCACCATGCTCCAAGGCCCTAAAATAATGAGTCGATCTCCTTGCTCGGATCGCTCTCAAACCCAATTCTTGAATACATGGGGCCCTCTTGGGGGCTTTCGCAGCCGTGTTCAGGGCTGTGGACTCGTCTCAGGGGGGCATCTGGGGGGCCTCGGGATGCCTCGGGGGCCCTATTGAGACCATCGTGGGTGTCTCGTGGTCTGCCTTGGCCGCCTTGGAGGCGAACACATTATAAGCGGAATGCAACTCAACAACATACTGGTCACACATGCCGTCCTCTTAAAGGCTATGGCTAGAGCCACCTTTACCGTTGTGAACGATCTGGGGACCTTCTTGAAGCCGTAGAAAGCCTTGCAACCAAAACTATGACGGGGCCGGCATGGCCCAAAAAGGCGGACCGTGAACGGACCCCTGGAACGCAACGTGGAAAGCCACCCTTTCCTATCCCAGCGATGACTCCAAGACCCTCAGCAAGCATCCACTACACTCGGCCGTGAATCCTCTGACATATAACGAAAAACACAAACACGTCCCACACCGCAAAGAGACAATAAATCAAAACGGTGTGCACCTCCTACGGCACGTCACAACACTGCACAACCCAACACGGCACCAAAGCGTGACACGGCGCCTATGCCTCACCAAACCGAGTCCTGAATACCTCGGCACGGCACGGCACCTCTGCTCCATCACATCGCGTTCCAAGTACCTCGATACGCCACGGCATGGCGCGGCACGGCACTTCTGCCCCCCAAGTCGTTTTTGCGCACGCGGCACTAAAGAGGACGACACGAAATGGCTGTTTCACCCCACATCGTTCGAAACGTTATGGAAAATGTCCCGCAGGGGCGGGCCGAATCCCAAGAGGACCCCCCAAATCTGCGAGTATCATGTGGGCTTCGGTCTTGTTCTTGTATGCCTCTCCCTGTCTGAAGTCCATTCTGCGCATCTGACCAAATTGCAGCTGCGATGTTCGTCCCGGCATGCTCGCCGTAACTCTGCTGGCGCTTGGCTCAATGCCACTTGGCATGGGGAAGAAGTGGTCGGATGAGACGGACAGTAAGAGGAAATAGTCTCAGAGCCAAAGCAAACGCTGGGGACAACGCAATCCAACCTAATCATCTGAAGATACCGCTTGCCGTGTTTATGGGTGACACTTTTCAAATGCAACGCGCGTTGTTTTTCCCGTGGAGAGGCTGGTCCAACGCTCGACGTTTCACACAAATATTCCCTGAGAGTCGAACGAAAAACATTGGCGACTACCAACGCTTCTCTGGTCCATTGTGCCACGAAGTACCACATAATCAGGCTGGCAACAAGTGTGTCCGAACGCCGCGCAGTACGAAGCAGCTGGCCTCTGCGGTGCCACAACGCAATGAAGGCTGGCCAACCTGAAGTGTCTTACACAAATCATGGACATTGTGTATTCGGCAAGCTCTAATGTGTCCCGGCGGCTAGCGACGCCTCATACGCAAGAGAAATAAAATAAACTAACGTGCTGTTCCTGCGGCGAACACGGCGACCGGCAAGAAGAAGCTAATCGCCACTGGCGCGCCAATATTCGAGGAGGAGAAAAAGGATGACGACGAGATGACACCAAGAAGAAAGCAGACGACGATTAGGGGGACGGGGGAGAAATTTGTAACTCCTGCTTCCAAGAAGGGGCAATGCGGTAGATCGCATGACATCTCAAGGATGCCACTCAACCGTAGACAACAATGTTACGAAATTATGTTTGCTGCTGCATGGCCCTCGCACGCGCTATTGCGACGTCGCGCCGAAACTGTATATCAATAGCGAAGAGTGCGCGAACCATCAATACACTTCCTCAAAATTGCTTTGACTGGCCTCGTAAGCCTGTACCAAGAGCGGAGCGGAACGCGGAGCATCGATCGTGGCGGATGCGGCCAGAGATGGCAACAACTGGCCAGAACAAGGCAACACTACTAGACCCGACAACTACGTGGAGGGCATGGGCGACCTAGATCGGAAGTCTGAGGCGAGGCCGAGTGAAACGAAGCGCCCAAACCGGTGAGTCACGTCGAGCGTGCGGGCGGGCGTGGCGAAGCTGCGTGAGGGCCAGAGGTGCCCTGCCAATGTAGCAAACATCTCACATCAAATTGCTCCCCCCCCCGCCCGTGGACGGCGACTCTGTTACAGGTTGCCCCGTGCTTGTCTGGCGCAAGTCCCATCGTTGGTCCTGTGGCTGTCCTGATCGATTGCTATATTGGGGGTGTCCCTTACAATTGTCCCGTGGTTGTTGCCTAGTGCGGTTGTCTTGAAGTATATAAGTGTGTAAATATATACACACTAGTATGATGGTGAAACGCAGTTACATCGTAAGTTAGATCGTCTGGACCATCTGGATGCTAGCCAGCGCTGACCCCAGAATCAGTGTGTCTCTAACATTGTATGCTGTACAGTCCATGTGGAGCAATACTTGTGGTGCAATATGTGTGGTGTGATGCACTTGCTGTGGTGCGATCAATGCTGTGCACTTCACTTTGACTGTTTTGAAGCTGTCCTCTCCACAACTTGTGCAAACATCCCTCCCTCCCACCCGCAACTTGGTCGCAAGACCTCTTAAGACCGTGACGGTAGGTACCAAATGACGCTTGGCAGCGACACAGACGCCGACGACGACAGCGACAACGGCGACGACGACGACGCCGACGCCGACGACGACGCCGACGACGACTTCGCCGACGACGACAACGACGACGACTAAGACGACGACGACGACGACACCGACGACGACGACGCCGACGCCAACGACGACGACGATGACGACGCCGACGACAACGACGACGACGACGACGCCGACGCCGACGACGACGCCGACGACGGCGCCGATGATGACGACGACGACGACGAGAAGGATTTCGGCATCCGCGCGCGGCGGCCGCGCGCATGTGCCCCGCATGGTGCTGATTACAAGGGGTTGCGGCCCTGACAAGCGCGCGACCGATGTTAAAGGAGTTCGACGCGCGCGCGCAAACATTGCTCGCATGACCGAACAGTTGAAAAATCTTTGGTTGTTCAGTCTTCGGAAAGCGCGCGCGGGTAGACAATCTGGTTTTGTTTGCTGATTTCGTTGTCGTGGAAGTATGGAACGATTCCTGTGATTTCAGGAAGCTCGGTCTTGAAATGGTTGAAGACACACTGCGTGTTGGAAGCATTTCGACATGCGCGCGCGGCGGCCGCGCGCATGTGCCCCGCATGGTATGTTTTACAATGGATTGCGGCCCTGGCGGGCGCACGTCCGATGTTGAAGGCTTTCGGCGCGCGCGCATAAGTTGCTCTTGAAAAACCCTGGTTTTTCCCAACCATCCAGTGGTGTTGGGTCCTCGTTTTGAAGAGACGGTGGCCCGCGTCTCCTCCTCTCCTCCTCCTCCTCTCCCTCCTCCTGCGTGTGCCCGCATGCGTCCCGCACACCCATTTCGGCACACCCCTCACACGTTTCGTGGCCCCATACGGAGCTCCACCGAAGGTCCCAGTGGGTGTGCCCGCATGCGTCCCGCACACCCATTTCGGCACACCCCTCACACGTTTCGTGGCCCCATAGAGCTCCACCGAAGGTCCCAGTGGGTGTGCCCGCATGCGTCCCGCGCACCCATTCGGCACACCCTCACACGCTTCGTGGCCCCATAGGGAGCTCCACCGAAGGTCCCAGTGGGTGTGCCCGCATGCGTCCCCACACCCATTTCGGCACACCCCTCACACGTTTCGTGGCCCCATAGGGAGCTCCACCGAAGGCCCCAGTGGGTGTGCCCGCATGCGCCCCACACCCATTCCGGCACACCCCTCACACGTTTCGTGGCCCCATAGGGAGCTCCACCGAAGGTCCAAGTGGGTGTGCCCGCATGCGTCCCGCACATCCATTTCGGCACACCCCTCACACGTTTCGTGGCCCCATAGGGAGCTCCACCGAAGGTCCCAGTGGGTGTGCCCGCATGCGTCCCGCACACCCACTTCGGTAAACCACTTCACACGTTTCGTGGCCCATAGGGAGCTCCACCGAAGGTCCCAGTGGGTGTGCCCGCATGCGTCCCGCACACCCATTTCGGCACACCCCTCACACGTTTCGTGGCCCCATAGGGAGCTCCACCGAAGGCCCCAGATGCCCCGTCACAGTTGTGCATTCCGCGGCACACCGTTTCGTGGCCCCATAGGGAGCTCCACCGAAGGTCCCAGTGGGTGTGCCCGCATGCGTCCCGCACACCCATTTCGGCACACCCCTCACACGTTTCGTGGCCCCATAGGGAGCTCCACCGAAGGTCCCAGTGGGTGTGCCCGCATGCGTCCCGCACACCCATTTCGGCACACCCCTCACACGTTTCGTGGCCCCATAGGGAGCTCCACCGAAGGTCCCAGTGGGTGTGCCCGCATGCGTCCCGCACACCCATTTCGGCACACCCCTCACACGTTTCGTGGCCCCATAGGGAGCTCCACCGAAGGTCCCAGTGGGCGTGCCCGCATGCGTCCCGCACACCAATTTCGGCACACACCTCACACGTTTCGTGGCCCCATGGGGAGCTCCACCGAAGGTCCCCGCGGCGCAGTCCGCATGCGTCTCCCTCACCCAGTACAGCGCTTCGTGGCCCCATTGGAGCCCCACCGAAGGTCCCCGTGTCGCAGTCCGCATGCGTCTGCCTCACCCAGTACAGCGTTTCGTGGCCCCATAGGGAGCTCCACCGAAGGTCCCCGCGGACGACCCGCGCGCGTCGCTGGGACCCTCTCGGGGCGACCAGCGCGCGTCGCAGGAGCTCCGTGCTGCGTTCTGCCCGGCGCCTCGCCCGCCCGTCGTCGCTCTGCCCAGCGGCAAGAGCCCTGCCCGCTATCAGCCAGCCAGCTAGCTCTCTCTGCTCCGCGCAGCGGACGACCCGCGTGCGTCGCTGGGACCCCTCCGGGGCGACCAGCGCGCGTCGCGGGGACTCCGCGCTGCGCTGCGCCGGCAGCCTTGGACTTTTGAGTGCGCGGGCCAAGAGGGAGTAAAAGAAGAGGGGAAGCGGGCGCGATCCTCGCGGGGGGGCGCGCCGACATTGCCGTCGCAGCGCGCGGGCGACGTCGTCGGGAGCCCCGGGGAAGCTCCTTGCGGCGGCCACGCCCAGCGTCACGAGTACTCAGAGGCAGTCATTCTCAAACGATTGACATTCATACACAAGTACACCATGCTTTGTCATATTCGAATTCATGCACGTAGACTCGCTCACGCGCTCGCGCTCATATTCACCCGCGCTCAGTCTCCCTACGTACTCAGATCAATCGTTTTCGTTCGCGTTGTGTACCACGCCATTCATTTCGGCACACCCCTAGCACGGTTCGTTGCCTCATAGGGATCACCACCGAAAAAGTGAATCACAATTGCGGTACTCACACCTGCATATGGTTGGGTCCTCCGTCAGGCTAATTTTTCTGAAGTCGGGAAGCGCGCGCGGGTAGAATTTTTGATTTTTGCGTGCAGATAAGCTTCGAGGATTCATGGTGCAATTCGTGTGATTTCATGAAACTCGGTCTTGACATTGTTGAAACCGCAATGTGTTCAAAAGGATCTCCACCTACGCGCGCGGCGGCCGCGCGCATGTGCCCCGCATGGTACTTTTACAAAGGATTGCGGCCCTGGCAGGCGCGCGACCGTTGTTGAATGAGATCGACGTGCACGCAAAAAAGGGATCGGCAAGAGCGCGCGGGCAGATGTGTCAGAATCTGTGGGTGAGAAAATCGTTTTTCAATATAAAAGAGGTGTTCTTGAAGCGGGATGTTGAACATGTTGAAAACACCGTGTGTTTGGACAGATTTCGACATGCGCGCGCAGCGGCCGCGCGCGTGTGCTCCGCATGGCATTGGTTATGAAGGATTCGAGAACAAGTGCTATGCTAGAGCCAAAACATATTATTGTATAGCATTTTTTGTGCGAGGGAACCGCGGGGGGACCGATGCCGGCCTGGCTGGAATAATTTGAATTCACAGGTAGGATGGACACTGGGTCAGAATCATAAGTGTTTTGCATCGGTTCGCGGGGAAGCGATAAGTCAGCGGGGGAGGGTGGTAGAACCTATCTCCTTTGTAGAAAGAAAAAGATCTGTGGTGGGATCTATGCTGTGACATACATGTGGTGCAACATATATCGGGGCGAACTAGGTCGTGCTATATCTGTTGAGCGATCTCGGAAGTGCAATATATGCGGTGCCGTCTATGTGGTGCAATCGGCGTGGTGCAATAGATGCGGTGCAATCGATGTGATGCGATCTATGTGGTGCGATCTGCGTGGTGCCAAATATGTTTTGTAATCCATACGTATATGCGATACATGTTTATATGCGATACACAGATGCGTTGGCTATAAATTTACGCGATACATACGTATATGTACAATTATGGATTGCACGATCCGTGTTGTGCCATATATGCGGGACCGTCTAGGTGGTGCACTACACGATGAACAGTATATGTTGTGCAGTTGTGGTTCTATATATGCGGCGCAATCTAAGTGGTGCAGTACATGAGAAACCGATGTGGCGCAAACCATGTAGTAACACTTGGGGT